TGGTTTTATTATAACGAGCAGTGATTTTAATTCACTTAGTTGTAGTTGTAAAACCGCCCAAATACGTACGAGTCGATTACCCTACCGCTATTTTTACCTGTATTATTTGCTTTACAATAAGGTTTTGTAGTAACAAAAATAATATGCGGAAGCTATACTAAATGTCCTTACTTCGCATTGGCTTAGTTTTCCTGACAGATTGATAAAATTCTGAATTTAGGTATACATGGTGATTGGTATTATTTTAAAATAAGACTCTACATACAAAGTAGGTTATTTTACATTCCCCAAATAATATGAGACAAATCCAATATAATCCTATAGGTAACTAAGTAAGTACGAGTACTAAGTCTGAATTCGATATTGTTTGATGGTGATATTATTAGACGTTAGTTATTTTCGGTACATTTAGTTATAAAAATAGATTTAACTTTAATATCATGAGTTTATGACGAGATTTAATTGAAATACTCGTAATAATTACTAGATATCTATGTTCAGATCAAGTTACAGTCTCATTAACGACGTAGACATTGAAAGACAATACATGAATTTTCTTTATGTGGTCATCAATTAGGTACATAGACGTAGTTTTATCAAAATTACAATTAAGGATCAAATAATAAAACCTGTTTCTTTGCTTTCGTAGGTAGGCACTCTATGTATTCAGCGTCTCTTTAAGCAGTCCACACACCAAACCCAACGACATAAGTCGTCAACTTTTGACATGTTGCCAAAACTCATAGAAAGTACAAGTCGTCGACAGGATTCTCTAGAAATAAAGCCGTCGGGTTTGGTGTGTAGAGTCCTTTATATGGATTACCTATAAGAACTTTTGATTAATTTGAAAGCGAAATTGGAAGCATCGTAAATAGCCCGTTGCGTACGAAGTTTGATTAATGTGCACAATCACAGGAAAGGTTTAATTCACTCAATTGGGATTTCAAATAGAAGTAGGGTTAAAAATATACTGAATAATGATACTTATGTATGTAAAAACTTTATGCCTATTTGCGGAAAATAAATTATTGTTAAGTTGTGTTGCCTGTATAAAAATGACAGAAAAACACAAAATGGCAACAATATCTTAAGGTTACGAATTTAAAGGTTAAAGTTCTGGTCGAGAAGAGCGTCTCCCAGCACACCTAGATGCGAATAACTCTAGAAAATATCATCGTTACTTATGTAGTTGTGTTCAAAGTGTTTCACCACAGCCAGCAACGTTAAACCTAGGCTTAGAATTTATGGATTGTGCTAATAAATCATTGTTGAAAGAATATGCACATCCATAGGTGTTCTGGGGATAATTGTAAATCGATCAACGAAATTGTGGTGAATTACCAGGAATTATATGTATAAATACAGCGCATTGCAACAGTTCGTTGCTTTGCCTCAAACACCAAAATATTTACACATTCTTCCATTTCTGAATGAGATGTTTAAAATTTCACACGGAACTGCCGCCTGTAAGCCAATTTATTAAGGAATTTTGGCGAAAAATTCCGAAGTTTGTTTGCACAATTATCCTTAGAAGGAATGCGTGAATATGTGTTTTATTTTTGGTTTGATGTTATTATTTTTGGATATGTTAACAAAGATATTTTAATTGTTCCCATAAGTTTTGATGGTACCTATACTATAGGCACAGATTACAAAAGTTTTATGTGCAAAACTCGGCCAGGACCTACTTATTAAAGAAGTCACATTAAAGAAAATAAATAAAAAAGATTATTCTATTAAATAAACTTGATTCTGAAAAGCTGCTAAGCTAACCTTAGAACGTAGTTTAGCAATTTGCGCGGTCTAGTTACTTTAAATTAATGAAGCTACGAAATTCGTCTTTATATTACGCATGTTGTTAACAGTTGTAACTCGCGTTAGTAGCTAAAATTCAACTTAATTAGTGTAAGACACAAGATAAATGTCGTTGACAGTCGGGAGTTCGGGACTATAAGTCACGTAGAAGAAACATTAAGGCTGAGTTGCACCATCTTATTTAAGCTTTAACATACACCAAAAATCTGTCAAACTCCATAGAGAAAACACCGATTATTGTTATAGTTTCGGTTAAAGTATGTTGGTGCAACTCAGCCTAAAACAAATTGTTTTTTTAGAAGAGTTTTCTCGTTTTCTTTTCTCGCACACAGGAAAAGCTATCTCCGTTTGCCTAACATTATAATTCGAGCCTATACAGGACTTATCATGCAAGAATTTACTATTCAAATGAATTACGATTCGATTTCTCCCGAGATTTGCTAATCTGGTTTATTCTCACTAAAATCTAATGTTTTTAATCTTTGGACGTATCGGAATTAATAAGCATATCTTAGGGATAGCTTTAAGTCGTGATTGGGGATCTTGTGCGTCATCGGCGTAGGAGATAATCGCCCGTTGATGTCTGAGATTAGCCGGATCACTAACAAGTATTTATTACCACGCCTATACGGTCCAGGGTAACTTAGAAAATGTGAGGGTCCGGAAGAAAAGGTTTATTAATACAAATGATAAGAGCACATTGCCAAAATAAACGCGTCATTACTCCTACTGACAAAGGTAAGTTTTATGGAGTGTGAAGCTTCAGTAAAACTATCTTTTAAAAACTACACATTTTCCAATGAAAGAAACCTCTAAGGTAAATAATTATGGTTAGAGCTTCATCCAATCGATTTAGAGGTACTTAGTAATTACGTAGTTTCTAGTTGGAAAAATGTCTTTGAGGTACAGAAAATTCTGAGAATTAACCTAAGTACTTCCATTACCTAGCTGGAAAGATAAGATATTTCTCGCTACCATCTACTACGAGTATACAGTAGCTAGGTATAATTTCAAGCAAAAAGAAGGTGGCGAGGTACCATAGTACAATGGCGCGATTTTTAATTATGCTCCCGGGATAACTCATTGTTTGTTTTTAAACCTGTCCCAAAACCTACTTTCGACAAAAATAGAACCAACTTTTTGTTACAATATATTCTTTTGACGGCAAATTTAATTTAACCTGTCACAGTTCAAAAGAACTTGGAAGATTTAAAAGAAACTTTTTTTAAATTTAACTTCGATCTGCAGTTCAGTTTTAGGGGCTTATTCCACTATTCCCCATTGACAATCCCCGTCAACGGGGATTAGTGAACTTTTTGTTAACTATTCCCCGTTTTATTAGGATTTTATTTTAACATTATAAGCTCCCATTGCCGTTAACTTTTTGTGCACTATTCCCCGTTGACGGGGATTGTCAATGGGGAATAATGGAATAAGCCGTTTTAGGTGATCGTACAGAGGATATTTGAGAAGGTAGCTAAGCCACATCTGAATTTACATGCATGAATTTGGCAATTGGTAGTTAAGACAATAAAGCATTGTGCAAATACTACCCCTATTGGGTTGTACCCGTAAAATCACAAGGGTCCCGGACAGGTTGAATCGTCAATTGATTTAATAATGAATCAGTATTGGACGTAACTATCACATTAACCATTTCGGCAGTGGGTATGTTATTATTAGACTTATTAATGAATAGGTTTAGGACGAAACCCGCTTTTAGTAATCAAACTATTAGTTACTTTTTTAAGCCTCTATAACAAGTTTACTTCAATAAATTGTCTTTTTTCAATCAACGGGGCCAAATTTACTAAATAATAATTAGTTTTTATTTTACATACCCTTAAGAGTATCTTTCAGTTAAACATTTTAACTATAAATAAGTACCCATAACATTAAAAGAATAATGATCATTGTTTTTCAGATGACTTGTTTTGTAATTTCTACCAGTTTTAAGTAGATGAACATGGCAACTACCATAAGTAAGTAGGTACATAGTTACAGAAAAATAATGAACAAATATTTTGTTTTTCATGCTACCTACTTGGAATAAAATATGTGTGTTTTTATTACACATATTTGAGCATAACATTTTATTTTGAAGATAAAAGGGTAGAAAATCTTCCATCACATACCTACAGTGGAAAAGTTCATTAGGTCACCATTGTGTAGAATTTATGGAAAGGTACAGAATTTCGGATAAATTTTCAAGTCATGCACATTAATAGGGATGTATTATTTTTGTTCATAACAGTAGTTAACGAAACATTAGTGGTTAGTTACTGCGTCATTATTTATTTAGCTATTTTATTTTAGAAAAGAAGTTTCTTGAAAGTATAAATATAGGCATGGGACAGCTTTTCAGACAGTTTAGAACTTCGATATTGTTTGTTAAATTTTTTTAAATCTAGTTTTTACAATTTTATCACTTAAGTTTAGCAACATAATGGAAATTGTGTAGAAAGTTGGAAAAAAATAATTTGCGAAAGATGTACAAAAAAGTGTGTTAATTTATACAGCGTTTGGTTAATTTTTAGTACTGTTTTTCTAATTTATTTGATTAATAGGTACCGCAAACAAAAACAATTGCTGTTTGCATGAATCAGTCGTAAAAGAACAAATATTTAAGCAAGCTTATTAATTTTTTAGAGGATACCTTTTGCTCGCAGTCGTTACTCCGGTTTAGTTTATTACATAAACAAATGCAAGGGAAGTAGGAACAAATTCTAGCTAAATGTTTAACTAAGGGGCAAATATTTTAGTTTAGTACAGTTTGGGTAACTACTGTGGGTTCCTAACGGTCGGTAGCCAACAGGTGGGCCCTTAGCTTCGAGTTCCAAAAACTTATCAGCGATTATAATTTGAACAATTTGTGTGATTATCATAATCGATCCAACTGTAAAGATTTACGATGGAATAAAAATACTAGTCATTAATATTTTGTAGAATGCTGTTACATGCATGCTTTAAAAAGTTTTAAAAGTTCTGTAAAAGTTTAAAAATACCTACCTATTAATTATAATAATGTAATTTTCACTTACTTCAAAGCTGCCTTAATCACTACAATTAATTACGAAAAAAACAAATGAGACCTAAAAATTAGCCCTCCAAATTTTGAATTTCGAATATGCAAAAGAGGAAAAATTTGAATGCCACAGAAAAAAAATGAAGAAAGTTTCACTAACCGGCCAGTAGCACGGCGAGCACCGCGGTCGTGCAGGCTGCTGGCGTCATCGTGTTGCGAATGCCGTGTCTGGGGCGGCCGCCCGCCTTTTAGCTACGGGGCGAACCGCCCCGGCTGTAGAGCGTAACCGCTTGCGCGTTACGCACATACGCTATAATCATAATAAATATTTAATATGATTTATTCACGTTTTGTTTCATAAATGTACATAAAGAATTAGGTATGTTAAATATTTATTAGACAACAAATTGCTCGTTACATGAAGATAAAATATTAAATATACTGAAATAAAAAGATGTTTTTTTACAGAAAAATGTTTCCAAGATCCTATTTTGTAGCCACTGCTTTTACGTCCATATCCAATAAGAATTATAGGTTTATTTTTTCAATATTTTAATCAGGATTAGTGGATATAGTAATGTGTAATTATGGAATTAATTTATAACATTGAAAACATTATTAAAAACATATTCGCAACTATCCACCAAACCATCCACAAGCTAATTAATTTAAGAATTTGAAAATTATACAGTTTGGGTTGTACGCATAAATTACGTCCTAGGTCCACAACATGCGTCGCCCACCATAACACCCGAAGACAACAAAAAGATCGCGACCTTTATTTATGAGTAATTATGGCCATTTTTTACATTCTCATACATCATGAATATCCGATTTGATAGCAAATTGCATTTTTTGCGTGTTCAATGATCGGGCACAAGGACCGCGACGATGTTTAGAATAGATATTTCGGTATTAAATGGATTAAGAATTTCCGATCGTATTTAATCACGAATCCTAGTATTAGTTCTTCTGTGGCATTTTCTGAAGCAATATAAATATGTATAACGTTCAAGGGCCAAATCTTGATCAAAATTGACACAGCATTTGATTTCGATGAAAAGTAGGAAAAAAACTTTCAACACTCGTTAATGATTTTGTCATGTATAATTATGATAATTAGGTATGTGAGTGTAAATCCTAGATTTCACAGTACTAAGCCTTGCTATTTTTTGTTCTTCGTGTTGTTAGGTTATTCCACAATATCGACGTAAATTGACTGAGCTAGTATTTTTGCGGGGATACAAGAGTAGGGAATTAGGTACACTGAATTCGAAGAAAATAATAATTTGATAGGCAGAAACTTTGTATAAAATAGGAAAACGGCTTTAAGTAGGCTTATTCAGTAAAATTTTTACAAAATGAAATAAACAAGCAAATATTCTGTTTATCACATATTGAAAAAAAAATTTTTGGTAAAATGAAATGTTTATCACATATTCAAATAAAATGAAAGACGTGTACTGTACCTATTTAACGTGCATTAGGACTTTGATTTATGTTAATTTTTATTAGCATTTAATAAATAATTGGTTTTTAATTATTATTTATTGTTTTTTTTATCAATAAAATACTTTATATTTTAATAAGAAATTCATACGACTTCTGTTTGATACGTCACGTCTTCCCTCGTAGTCTACGGCGACTACGGCGTAGCATTCTGCGTCGTAGCTACGAAGGCATTTGATATTCACCTATCTTAATCACTTGTTGCAATGAAATAAATGCGTCCACTTCAGTAAAAGTAATTAACTTCACAAACTCAAATCCTGACTTGGAATCAAATGATGACTGAGAAAGCTTAAATCCCTACCCTCTGTCTGTCACGCTTTCACGCCTCTAAACCACTGAACCCATTTTGATGAAATTTGGCATAGCGATAGTTTGAGTCCCGGGAACGGACAAAGGATATTTTTTATCCCGGTTTTTGAAACAGGAACGCGCGCGATAAAGATTTTCTGTGACAGGCAAAATTTCACGCGGGTGAAGCCTCGGGCATAAGCTAGTTAATTATAATTCACAAAGACATTGAGAATACTACGAGTGTGCATAATGTGCGCTTAAAGTCTGCCCACACACAGATATTTATCAACGAAATGTGCCTAATAATATCCTGACAAAAAGTCCGTGTCCTATACGACATATAGGATCTTGGAGTATAAATCATGTGTGGTGTGAGTAGTACAAAAGCTCAGTGGGCTTACAGGCAGCGTGGGAGATCCTGCACTCTCGACACGCCCACTGGTAAACGTACTATAATGTGTGCTACAACTAAAGACTTCTGAGTATAGTCACAGGTATAGTTCTTGAACTTACGAAGGCGACTGAGCTTTACTTGTGTGTGTACATGCACAGAACGATGTGTAATGTCTATCAAAACTTGAAAAACGAACAGTAGCGAGCCACCACACCATGTAAAGCTCACTCGCCTTCGTGAATTGCAACAACTAAAAAAATTGTGTAAAAGCGGGGGCGCAATTTGAAGTTGAAGAAGTCATCTCAAAGTGACTTAACGTCAAATTTTTATTCAACTTTGCAACTACTTACACTATAGTAAACGAACGCTACACAACCAAAGATTTCAGAACTATTCGGAATATTTATTAATTTGACAAAAAAATCTCTCCTTTGTAGACCTAGATCATTTGTAAAATGCAGAATACTTCCTTGTTTATACTACCTATTCACTTAACGCAGAATTGGAACGACATTTACCAATAAATTACCTATTTCTTGTACTTTTTTTCAGTGAGATCCATTCAGGCGTTCAAAGGCTCTTTAAAGTTATCGCTTTTGCCGAATAGGCTACCTTTAATATGTTGTGAAAAAGCAATCCTTAGAAGTGCCATCATTAATTTATACTGGTGCGAAAGCTTTTGATTAGTATGTCGATAAAAATATTTCTCGTTAAGTCGCAGGCATATACCGATCCTACTTTACAGGCATCGAATTAAAATAAAAACATCTGTACGGTAGAGCTATGGCTACACAATTTAAGATGTAATACGTTCCTAAAAATTATTTTTTTCTATTTGTATACTTGTGTCAGGAGTTCAGGACATACCGAAATACTATCTAGTTGGTGTGTATCGAACAAATCGTTTCATGTGTACAATAAAATCGAATATTCCAGTTTAGAGTATGTGAGTGTATACTTAGAGACTATGTTGTTTACATGTAAATAGTAATATTTTATTTTAACGTTTTTCCAGGACTCTTTCCCATGCTTAGAACTTAAGTTCGTTAAAGAATTATATTGAAAACTAAAATTAATAAATTTTAATTGACCTGATTGCAGCCAACTTCAAAGAAACAGCGCAGGAAGCTTAGGACTAGAGATGAAACGGATATCCGGTAACTATCCGGTAGGCCGGATATCCGGCCTAAATTTACTATCCGGCCGGATACCGGATAGTAACTCACTATCCGGCCGGATACCGGATATTAAAAAACTACGACAATTTCCTGTTAATAAAATTAAATACATTAATCTTTGAGGTAAATATCAATAAAATGGCTTATAATAATGACTGCTTTTATTTAAAGTCCAAAAAGTTACAAAAAAGCCTTTCAAAAAACTAATTTCTTTTTCTGAGCTATTCACTCTAATGACAAATCTATACTAATCTATATACAACGTGTCCCAAAATNCATCTTTTTTGCGACTAGTTTTCTTAGAGTATTATACTATTTCGGAATCTTGGATAGTTGCGTCAACTTTATAAAAAACTTGCCGCAGTAGTGTTCATACTGTTTTTTTACAAAACGACGAGTCAAAGTGGAGTGTAAGTAAAAATCGTTCAAAATTTTAAGGAAATATCATATTTTGATTCACTATTGCGTAAAAACTGCAAGGATTCTGAGGGTTTTAAGAATTGGGGTGGACAGCAGCACTATTTAAGTTGTCGATACAAACAAAAAAACTGAAGTATTTGAAAAATTGTGGTCGTTGTAATGTAAAATATCATAAGGGGTGTCAATTTTCGACGAATTTCATAATTTATTGTGTAACTTAAAAAATAATTGAGATAGATTTTTTTTCTTATTTTTCCTAAAGCAGTCATGACTATGTCCACCCTGCGGCGCCGGCTTATCCTTGAATTTTGGGACACGTTGTATACTAATATTATAAATGCGAAAGTAACTCTGTCTGTCTGTCTCGCTTTCACGCCTAAACCACTGAACTGATTTTGATGAAATTTGGCATAGAGATAGTTTGAGTCCCGGGAAAGGACATAGGATAGTTTTTATCCCGGTTTTTGAAACAAGGACGAGCGCGATAAAGTTTTTCTGTGACAGACGAAATTCCACGCGGGCGAAGCTGCGGACGGAAAGCTAGTACATAAATATGTAGTATATTATATCTGTTAATGTCGAAATATTGCCAAATAAAATAGGCTATCTTTTTTTCACTGATGATGGTCTGATGAAAATGATGCAGTTCAGTCATATTACGCAGCAAGTAAACTAATTTAATTTTCGCTATCCAATCACACATTCACGATGGCAACCGAAATCGCCCGAATTGATCTGCCCCCTAGACAAGTCTGACATTCTATTCAGACGGATTCGATTTTCGAAAAGTTTGACCAGTCTAGTCTACCAATAGACCCACTGATCGCGTTCGAAGCACCTGTGCGGCGCTAAACTCGTCACGACATGCATCGAGACAATGGGCCAACTATCCGGCCGCCGGATATCCGGCTATCCGGCCTAGCAACTGGCCGGATATCCGGTATCCGGTATCCGGCCAAACAACTATCCGTTTCATCTCTACTTAGGACCTTATAAAATAAAATGTCTTTCATAAATTTCAAGTAAAGGCGTAAATTGATTTAAAAATTGTGATCGCTCTATTAATACCGGCTCCAGAATCCCAAGAAACTGTCAAAGAACTAGTAAATCCTAGCAAAAACGTAACTTTGAAACGCGCACCCATTAGTAAGGGTTTAGGGACGTCAGGGAAAATTAAAAGTGCAACATTTTATTTTTACCCATACATTTTTCTTCCTCTGAAAGTACCAAAGTAACTTCTGAGATATATTTAAGCTCGATATTGCAAATTGAACATCTTTTCATGTTCATAGCGATTTCAGGAACCAAAAGGTATGATGTATGTAAGATCGCTCTTAACCAAAACTTATTGTGCTTAGAAAAGCATCATTGTCTAAAAAGGTCATTATTTGTGTGAATTACGCCTACATATCGTTTAGAATACCTATATCAACACTTGTCTGTTCTTGACAATATTGTAAGGGTAATATTGTAGGTAGGTATTGGGCACTGACTCATTTAGAACAATAGAACAACCTACGAGTTCAATTCAAGGAAAATTATGAGATTCTCAAACCTACCTACATATTCAATCATAAGGCATTAATTATTATTTTATCCCAACTGCGGATATCCCGATGTTTACTGACAATAAAATAAAACATAGTTAAACTTACTGTTTTCATTATTAAAATATTCGTGCACTTGTATTTGATGTGCTTATAAGTCAACATGGTTTATACGGAAAGTTTTCTGCAAAAAGAAAGAGTCTACACGAGTTTTATTTTATGGTCACGAACCATAATGGTTCACAAAAAAGTTGTATTATCGACAATATTTACGCTTCAGAGAGGAACGAATAGCGTTAAATTAGTCATATTTTCGTAAAAACAAGACATTTAAGTTGGACAAAGTTAGATCTCTCTTACTGTAAATAAAACTGAATTCAAATATTTGTAGCTCACGTCGCACATCCAATCACCGAAAACCCAAACTGAAAATTGACTAATTAATCTTCAACCACACGTTGGTGTGGCGGAATTGTCTTTAAGCAGCCACAGGAGCGTTTTGCTTCTTTAAGATGTTTTCCAACTACTTACCTGATGCTTGAAATGTCGGTGTACAGTATTTCAGTCGGTATTCTAGCTTTAAGAAATATTTTTGGTTTATTTTTTAATTATTATGTTAAATGTACGGTTCAAGTTACTGCATACAACTAACAAATATTTAATTATAGATAAGAACTTAAACTGCTAAAAAAACAAATATTTAATTATAGATAAGAACTTAAACTGCTTTTACTTGGTCCAATATTTCAGTTTAAGTATAAATGAAAATGAATTATTTGGAAAAATAATTTACAAAAACGAAAGTAAAATTATTCCACGGACTTAATTTGTTTTTTTTTTAGAGAAGCGCGAGTAATTTTGGTGTCACTTTTCCCGCTAAAAATGTAAGGTCGCCTGACGCATTGTTCAAGGAAAACGTTAACCTTTTAATTAGGTACATTGGAAACATTTAATAATTTACGCCTAAGCATTTTTATTCTTCACAGTAGGCTACTAAACACTTAATTAAGTAATTGGCACTTTCCTATTTGTTAAAACAAACAAGATCGCTATTCAATTACACCTTACAGTTTGAATAGAGGTTAGTTTTTTAAACTTTAAAGCCTAAGGTCAGGTCAATCATTAATTGCAGTTTTATAAATTAATTACCCTTCTAGTTCGGTTTATTGATATGGTTACCTAAGACGATTGGTCACATTTCTCTATTTTCATAAAATTTTGTTTTCAAGCAGTTTTATACAAAAAAAAAGTTTAAAAGTTCCGACGACGTCTGTGTGGCTCTGAAAGGGTCGAGAAGTTAAAACAAAGGTGCCTTAATGGCTTTGTTTTTTATTGTAGGTAAGACTTTACTTTAAAATACGCCAGAATTTTGCAACTTTCAACACAAAACTACGTCCTTAATATGGGGACACAAAACAATTTTCTATTTTAATATTTACAACTTGTATGGTTTTACGCCTACACTATTGTTCTGTATAGGTACTTTTGTGTCGTAAGGCTTGATGTTTAAGAAAGCCCTTTTATGAGGAATAAGTATTGAGCTGATATGTACCTACCTACAACTACGATATGATTTCAAATTAGACATAAATGGTGTCCCAAGTTTTGATATGATACGGTACAAGAATTCTTTAAAACTTTTTTTATTGTTATTTTATCAATACTCGTTTTTCCCGGATACGAAAGCCAACCTTTTTTTATGGAAAATTTTAACAGAAATACCGAGAACGCGCTTAAGTTTTCTTTATAAGCTGTTAAAAACTATTAAGTATAAAGATAATTGTAGGTACATTTAGTACCTACGAACATTTTTTTTGCTTGATTGCATAAAATATTATATTTCATTTTCAAAGCATTTTGTAAGATCTACCAGCAGAAAGCTTAACCGAATGTGGGAGGGCTCACCTATTCACCACTAACTAATCCCTTCCGTGAGAGTAAGTAGGTATGTATTCTTTGTTGTAACCTTTATAACACAATATTTTCTTTAAAAAAAAAGATGACCTTTCGAAATGATGAACTCTTTAAATATTTCACAATCCAAGTTTTGAATGAAGTCAAAGTCGAGGTTCATAAAACTCTAAGGCTGAATGGAGTTTTCTAAAAGAGGGTTCAAAGACCTGTTTATTGATACGAAGCTGAAAAGTTAGTTCAACTCAAACATAAAGCCTTTATTTACTTAGTTAGTTAAACTTAATAGGTAATTCGACCAATCATAGAATTAAAACTATACTTAAAGGTTGAAAACTTTAGAAATCTTCTTTATGAAACAAAATCTGGAAAAAATACGCATTTTTTTACACTTATTTATCAAAAATAAAAGCTTGAATTCATTTAGTCTTTATTTTACAAAGCTAGGTCAGGTTCTTTTGAAGATATTGAAGATTTTGTAACTGACCCTTTTTCATTGCGGTCCAGTTTATAAGTATTCTAAGGCTGAGTTGCACCACCTAACTTTGACTGTAACTGTGATGATAACCGGTGTTTTTTTGACAGATTTTTGACGTTTGTTAAAGTTAAAGTAAGATGGTGCAACCCAGCCATAGTAGGTAATTTTCTGACAGTGTCCTAGTGACGGGCTACCATAGCACGTACTAAAATTCTGCATCAAAAGTCAACAGCTATGAACAGAATGACCGATGTAAGTATCATCCCTTCTCTATCGCTAAGCTGCTTTCTGCTAACGTGCACCGTAAACTGCGAGGTATTTAAATTTTAAGTGCCTGCCTCCATTAGTCCGGGCTTTACTGTTGATTTTTCAAGTCCTGTATCTATGTTACGTATCGTTCTGTAAACCAAGGTTTCTGAATGTTCCTTTAAAAATCTGAATAAGTAGAAACGTATTTTTCATTCTAAAATAATTGAATTAAAATACAAAAAGCTTTGTTAAAAATCTGATTATTATCATGCCTCTAACTAACCTTTAGTAGGCGCGCACACCGTTGATTTTTAGTTGGCCGATAGTTGTGCCCGATTTTAAATTGTATGAAGAATCGGCCAAATCGAATCGGCGTAGTGTGCGCACTCCCATACATGCCCATACTGATCAACTGCCCGACTAAACTATCGGCCGACGAAAAATCAACGGTGTGCGCCTACTCTTAATAAAACGATGTCCATGGTTAAGATAACCTGCTATCTATGATAATTATAAGTAGTTTGATTTGATACCAGTAGTCTGAGGTACCTACCTAAATAGTTTTGTAACTACGTTATGAGACGTTAATGAAGTTGTTGTATTAAAAGGCAGATTACTTTTCCGTTAATCATCAGACAATATATGTACTTAAATAATAATAAATATCCTTGGACATTTTACACTGCGCTTCTAGTCCCAAACTAAGCAAAGCTTGTACTATGGGTACTAGACAACGGATATAAACATGATTTAATACTTTTTTTTGTAAATACATACATATTATACATAGAAAACGCCCAGTCTAATACACACAAATATGTTCATGCACACAAATGCTTGTACTACACAGGAATCGAACCCGCAACCTCTGGAATAGTAGTCCGTTTCGAACCACTACACCAAACGGCCGACTTATATTAGTAAATGATTTTTCACAAGTCAATAGATACCATTTCAGAATCGATCACATGAAGCACTGTATTGGCAATCAAAAGTTTTTTAATTTAATATGTGTTTGCGTATTTTCTTCGATATTCACGTAGGTAGGTATAACGTAACGGTTCATTTGTATGTCGTACGTGACCGAAGTCAGCTTCAAAGATAAGTTCGAGTAATGCCTACTTTTAAATGATATTAAAGCAATTTATTACCTGAATACTCTGTATTTATTCCTTTTAAATGTATTAATGCCACGGATCTATCTTATTAGACTTCTGATTGATAGACGATTGCCGTCCACAATCTTCTATCAAGGCCAATAAAATATTAATTAATTTTTGTTTTCGGGATAACCGTTGGAAATTTTACGATATTAATATGTGTCTTGGAACTTACTTTGATGACGGTTCACATAATATTTTTTAAGCTCATTAAAAGTGAAGAAAACGCCTTTTATTGAGAGTAATAAATAGAGCTTATGATCGTTTGATTTACTTATGTTTCGGTTATTTCGACCATTTCTTGATAACATTTCATTGATATTTAGTTACTACGATATTACGAATATTAATCAGATCACGGTGAATCTTGAGTGTCAGTTAAACCCGGAAGAAAATATTATTTAACTTACCTTTTTCTGTAAGGTTGAGAAAAATGCTCGTATTTTGTATCTCGCATCACTATTCCTTTGTACAGGTTGTGCTGTCAATATATCACTTTTGTTCCGATTGGGTTGGCCCAACAGCAGGTACGAAGTTCGCTCGATTCATGCATATTCATAGTTTCAGTGCCTTGACATGCTGACCTAACGGTATTGCGAATATTGCTATCCAACTTGGATGTTTTCGTTCGATTACAGAGAAATATGGCTTGCGAACGAGATATTCTTGCGATACTATACATTGGACAGTTAATTAATTTGTCACCATCACTACGATCCACTGACATAATAATATTACTTTTATGTGATATAAAAAAGGTATTTTACAGTTAACAGAAATTAAAAAAAAAAACCTTTTATTTTGAAAATGAGCAAGAGTCGACAGGTTAAATAAAAACAAGCAATGATAATACAAATACTTCATTATTCTTATTAATAATACTTTAATAAAACGATATTATTACTATCTAACAGCCACAATACTGTGACATCTAGGAGACAATACCGGATCGAACAATTTAACCAAATACACATCTTGAAAACCATTCTCGCACAAAAATAAAAGTCTATCTAACAGTATAACACTTTCAATAACTTGAGCCAAGCACAGTCTTAGCAAATAAAACATCACAATTTTCTTCTGTCGACAGTCTATATCTTTGCAAATATCTGTCAGATAAGTGTCCGGTAATTTATCGGCGAGGTTCAAATTCAAAGTTGCGTCAGCTTGTCTGAAATATTGCTGGAAGTCTTCACACTTCGAAAGGCGCTTTAATTTGCCCTCGGATAGTGGGAAATCTGGTAATAGCTTTTTAACAACCACCTGAAAAGAAAACTACTATTACAACGAAGTTTGTATTATTCCATTGGGCGGAATCGTTAAAGTATTGACACTACAGACAGAGAAGGATAGTAGTAACCACATTTATATTATGTACGAAATATACTATGTAGGTACATATTTATATGAAGACTTACGTCCGTATTCACAAACGATGCTTCTTAATGCTTAAGTGAAGCAGCAAATCGAACTCACAGCGTTGAATAGAGCTCTGCGATCGGTTCGTGTGTCACCCTGAGCGTCCACCCACGCGCACTGTGAGACCTCATAGTAATGTTTGTGAATACGGGCGTTAGACACACTACTTTTAGATAAGTATTAATGTTACTGATGTTGATTTCGAATCTACTTGTTCTTATGACGTTAGCGTATCGATTACGAAATCTCTAGGATTTACTAGATTAGAAATTAGGAAGAAAGAAAAAACCTTTTTTACTACACAGGGAGTGCTAACAAAAAAAAGGAGAAAAATCTAAATGAGCAGTACGTTATTTATTTTAAGTGAGCCTGCTTACCACTTCTTACATTGTATTTTAGATGGGTGATTAACTCGATACTCCAAAAATCGCCTAATTCACAAATGTTACCAGTTTCTTAGAACAGTTTGATTACTCATTCAGTGTTAGTCACCTAATAATTCAGATTTCTAAGAAAGATGGTAGGGGGGAAATGGTCTATGCAGTTTTGTGTATGAGCAATAAAAATATATCTTTTCAAACTATTTTTTTTAACAAAATAAAACCGCATATAAGTACAAATCTTTAAAAGTCACCGACTAGTGACGACAAAAGCTGACTAAAGGATTACCACCCTTATTACATTTAAGGTCCGAGGGCACCACCTACTTAGATTAGGTGCCGTGATGTCACGTCTCAAATGAAATAAAGATATTTATTTCGAATAAGTACCATTATTAAACTCTTATGCGTTAGATATTTAATACATTTTGAAATTTTCTTTAACTTTTATAAGCCGCATTACTAATTATACATTAACCAACAACAATCTGCTGTACCGCTTATCAAGCGAATAAATGGATTTTGATTTTGATTTTGAACACTTGAGATTTTTCATACACACTATACTTAATCCCATACTTATTTCAAACCTTTATTTTAAAAAAGCTAGCTTATATCCTTTATTTAAATCTAATTTATGAACCTATATAATTATTAAAACTTAGAAACATAATACGGATAGGCAGTTTCACATTTATAACAATACTAGCGGCCGCCTGCGACTTCGTACGCGTGGATCCCGTTTTACCACCTTAGGGGTTGAATTTTGTAAAATCCCGTCTTAGTTAGCACCTACGTCCTAAAAGGAATTCCCATGCAAAATTGGAGACTCCTAGCACTTGTAGTTTCTGAGATTTCGTGATGAGTGAGTCAGTCAGTGACCTTTCGCTTTTATAGATATAGATTGACTAAAAAGTACAAACCTGCAGCAAGGCTCTGTGCAGTAGACTCTTGGAAGGCAGCTGCTGTTGATGCACAACTCGGTCGATGGACTGTGCGGCCAACATGCGGGCGTTCCGACCCAGGTTGTAGCCTGTGTGGACAACTGTCATTAATGAGAGCTTCCATGGCATTGATGGTGATATTGGGGCTTTCATGGTGTGACAACAATAGTTATTCAAGACGCACATCAGTTCAGTGCGTATCAGTGCAGTAGTTTGATAAAACTCGTGTATGTAGATCCCATTATTTATTAGTAAGAATGTAAGTAGGCTTTTTAAGGGTACTTAAATACGTTACAACTACCTACGTAATTAGCCTAAGTTACTACAACTTCGGAATATATCAGCTGTTCACGTGTTTTCACAAAGCTAATGTATGCTCGTCGGTTAGTGTACTCGAATAGGAGGGGGTAAACACTGATTTGTTATTAAATTCGATTTCAATAGTTTCCTCACCTCTCAAATGCTCCGACATAGGAAACCCTTGCGCCCCTCCCTGGTCGATCCCATAGTCCTTTTGGAAGACATCAAACAGTTCGCTGTCAACGTCTTCAGTGAGGAGATGGTAGCAGCACGGCACGTTGAACACAGCAGCCGTCGAGGGCTGGCTGGTGAAGATTCGGAGCGAGGCCGGACCTAGGTTCCCGCAAGTGTGGAGCCCTTTGGAACGTTCGTAACGTTAATTGATATCTTGGGTTTAACTCTCAAATGGGACACAGACATTGAGAAATGTTTTTGTACAACTATTTTATATTATAACATAGTCCTTTTGGAAGACATCAATCAGCTGGCTTCGTCAACGACGTCGAACAACATACTCTTCGACGAGGAGATGGTACTTTGAAGACCGCAGCCTTCAATGGTTGGCATATGAAGATATTTGGAGTTGGGTTCCCGCGAGTGTGGGGCCCTTTGAAACGTTCGTAACGTTAATTGCATTGTGTATGGCAGCAATGAAGAATACACCTCAATGAATTTAGCCTTTTTTTTATTTATAAAAAAATGCAAAAAGAAATTGAAATGCAATGTGTTGAGTTCAATATCTAAGTTTTTGGTGTGCGTCCACGATTTTACTATTCTGTGAACATTTCCGTACCGTAAACATGGTGTTCATTATTTCAAACCTCACAACTTCAAAAAGTTTTAAAGGGGTTATAAACTGATTGCAATAATTTCCCTAAGGTGCAGTTAATTTTTTTCTCAGTATTTTACGTTCACTTCTAGCACATGGATTACATGGAATATTAATCATTAGACGTTATTCATACCTAGCGGCAAACTCATTAAACTTTTAATTTAAAACAGGCAGTTTCTGTGGAAGCTCATGAATACCGGCCAATGGGGAGTTGACCAGACGCCGCACAAACATGTTGTGCATGGAAATTGTTCTTATTAGGCCGAACTTTGTGTAGGACCAGCTAAAAATAATGTCGAAGTTATGTTGCAAATTATGTACGTTTGAGTAGGACTTATCTTGAAACTGTGTAAGTGAATACTCAAAGTTAGCCAGCTTAAAAGGGTTCTATAGGATTAGAATATTTTCGTTTTATCAACGCGTTTTGATCATGCGCTACAAGAAACCGAATAATACGGGTGCATTTTGTTATTCGTAGGCGGCTTAAATATGTAACAAGCATAATAGTGCGTGTACACGAACCAAAATGAGGTTTTCGCGCGCTAAAGAGGAGAGCCTAAGTTAAAAATAGCCTTACAAAAAGTGATTTTTTTTAATAAGACGGTACAGAAATCTTAATGAACGCGCGTCGATTTTCGATCGAAAACACTTCATTAACTACATAAAATATTCCTTTTTTAGCTTTATTTTTGCTATAAAAATAGATTCAATTGATAAAGGGTAAGAAGTTTGGGCGCGAAAACAGTAGATAGAGTAATCGACTGATAGAAGCCACAGTTAACAAGCGTAACAGACAGATAATATCAGTATGAATGTTAGATAGGCGCTGGATGAAAGCCGCTACCAACCGGCCAATCTGGAAATCATTGCAGGAGGCCTATTTTATATTCAGCAATTGACGTCCTATGACTGAAATGATGATTATGATGAATATTAGAGAATTTTACCATTGTTTTTTTTTTACTTACCCGTCAGTAGTAACTTCACGTCTTCCTGCTCCATTTCTGGAAATTTCTCCTTGACTATTGCGCGCAGGTCAGTGTGCCTGGTGACGTAGGCGGTTGCGAACCGATGGAGGTTCCGATTTGATTCTTTAGACATTTTTTCTTCTTGGCCATCTTTTATCTTCTTTGCGATGGCGTGCCATTGTTTCTAGAATTGAGTATTTAATTTTAAAACCCTATTCTAAGAGATCGCAAACCTTATTTGCGATCTCATACATACTCTTTACGTACTTTTATTACGAGTACGAGTAAGTACCTACCTATGTATGTAAAAAAATAGGTATGCATTTACAAAAAAAGAGTACGACGCATGACTTTGCTAAGTGTAGGCACAGCATAAAGTAATTTATGTATGGCTTATCAGATTTTTTGATAACAAAACTGGGATTTCTTGTAATAAAGAAGTGATTTTAGATTATGTGTCTCAATTGGGAATTGAATCATGAACCACTGAAACTAAAGAGTTGTTGTAAACACATAACTTTCAGACAGTTTGAAACGATAAGAAATAGAAAATTACGAGACAGCCATCGGCACGGCCATCGGGGCTTGTCCCAGTCATTCTGAGTTTAATTACTTAATGAATGAATTATTAAAATATTTATAACATTTTTTTTATTTACGTAGTATTTAGCTACTGTTGCAAATAAGCTGCTTATTATTAGACTATAAGAGGCACAAAAACACCAAATAAAACTTGTTGTGAGGGTTCGATACGAGTGGGCGTCTTTATTTACGAGTCGGGATTATGTCGATCAGTCATCTCTGAGCAACTTGATACGCCTACGTGGTTATATGGGGTTAGTCCCAACGGCCCCGGTGGATCTGCCCCGTCAACGGGGTGGATGGAAAAAAGTGTTTCAACGACCCCGGTAGTCATAGTCTTAGCGTTCAACGGGGTGGATGGAACACATCAAGTGTCAACCACCCCGGTATATCGTTTAACGGGGCGGATGGATCAAAACAAGTTTCAACCACCCCGGTAATTCACTAAACGTGGCGGATGACACAGATCTAAATGCAATAACAGCAAATTAACGTTTCACGTGGATTCCACAATTTTAAATTGATTACGTAAAATAGATTTTTTTATTTTAGCTCATTTTTCTTTCATCTGCCAATATAGGTAGTCAGTCGCGTATCCACTATTCAACGCAATGAGTAGTCCCGAAGCAGTGGCGGGATTCAGACCTGCGTTCCTCGAATATCGATTCGGTCAGTCCGACACTGACACCACAGGGCTATTGTCGCTAAAGATTTGTGACGTCACACAGTCACACTTCTATTGAGAGATGGTTGTGCTCACCACATCCCAGATTTTTTTTGAGGATTGGTTCTGCTGTAATACTGATTACTGAATACTGAACTAGCGGCCACCCGCGATTTCGTACGCGTGAATCCCGTTTTACCCCCTTAGGGGTGGAGTTTCGTAAAATCCGTTCTTAGTGAGCACCTACGTTCTAAAAGGAATCCCCATGCAAAATTTGAGACTCCTAGCACTTGTAGTTTCTGAGACGTGATGAGTGAGTGAGTCAGTCAGTCAATCGGTCAGTGACCTTTCGCTTTTATAAATATAGATTAAATTGACTGGTTTAACTTACCTGAATGATCTTGATCCTTTCTGCGGCCGAGGTCAGCGTCTTCTCATCGCAGTCGATGGTGAGGCTGGGGATACCGTAGCCCAGGGTCAAAGCCACGGGCAAGTGGCCACGACCTCCACCGGCTTCTACGCAGCACGAGGCCGAACAAGCCTCGTAGAGAGAAGCTACCAGGCGGGACATGATTTGGACCTGGTAAAAAGAAGAGATACTGAACATCGTACTATTCTAGTCGCTGGGGATGTCGTAGCCCAGGATCAGGACCACTGGCAGGTGGCCGCGGCCGCCACTAGCTTCTACGCAGTACGAGGCCGTATATGACGCAAAGCGATGCTACCAGGCGGGACATAAAAAGAGAGAAACTGAACATCCTACTATTTCGCTTAGGATGCCGTAGCCCAGGGTCAGAGCCATGCAGCACGAGGTCCAACATGCCTCGTACAAGGACGCTACCAGGTGGGACATGGGTTACTTTTCTGACTTCATCTTTGTATTAATTGCCATGAAAATTGACATGTGAATGTGACAAGTAGTCTCAAAAGACTAACATTGTGGCATTACAGAGATGCTTATAATAATATGTATTATACTGACGTTTTGTACCTCATAACTCTTTTTATTATTCATGAACTCCTTCACTTTGATTTCTGGTTTGATGTCACCACCCAAGCTCTGGATGTGGGTGTTCAACTGCTCAGCAGATATGCAGTACTCATTGTTGACTGTTACACAATTTGACTTTGCTTCCTCAATCCATTTTCCAAGTTCGGAATGGTCTGGAATGATTGTATATTTTAAAATGATGCAATAAGTTACAATTCAAATATCAATTAATTTATGTACACCTACAGTATCATCTATCATACTTATAAACTTTACTATAATATAATTGTAAACCAGAGTTTACATAAACTAAGTACAGAATCCAAATGATAACTACGACTCTTACCGTTAATATATTGTCCCTTTGCTAGAGACCAGAAGTAATTCACAGCGTCATTTAAACTTAGAGCATCCAGTGAGGACTTCAGATTACCAGGGATGAGTCTCTCCCAGTGGTTTTGGGTAAAGAACTCCACCATATGACAGTTTGCTAATGGTAGCAGGGGGTTTAGGAATGTAACAATTGAGTCAAGATGACGGCGGACCTTAGACATTGTTTCTTTAGATTCTGTAACAAATATTCTGTGTGTAAATATTTATGAATGAATACTAGAGATGAAACGGATAGTTGTTTGGCCGGATACCGGATACCGGATATCCGGCGAGCTGCTAGGCCGGATAGCCGGATATCCGGCGGCCGGATAGTTGTCCCATTGTCATGTTGCATGTCGTAACGAGTTTAGCGCCGCACAGGTGCTTCGAACGCGATCAGTGGGTCGTCTAGTAGACTATAGTTCCAAAATACTGGACTGTCCTGTCGATGACATTGACAGTGGGGCGCCACCGTCAATACCGGATCGCTGGTTCAGATTTTTGCCATGTTGGAAACCATATAGTTGAACGATGGTAGCGCCCCCCTGTCATTGAGTTTGGCGGGACAGTTCAGCGTGGGTCATCTATAGACAAGTCACACTTTTCGAAAATCGAATTCGTTCGAATAGAATGTCAGATTTTGCCACTCGTCTAAGGGGCAGATCAATTCGGGCGATTTCGGTTGCCATCGTGAGTATGTGATTGAATAGCGAAAATTCAATTAGTTTACTTGCTGCGTAATCTGACTGAACTGCATTATACAGGTTGACTTTGAAATCGTTGGCATTCTTTTTAAAATAAGACTTTACTCATGATTCCCCAAATATGAGTCATATCAAATGAATAAAAATTTCAATATTTCAAATCTTGTACAGAAGACAGCATCAATCTTCATTCTGTGGCATGTTATATCAGTGTATTAAGTGTTATTTTGCAACAAAATGTATAGGATGATGTGCTGTTGACTCTACAATAGTTTTAAACTCTCTTTAAGAGCACACTAATACAAATACATAGTTTATTTTATTTTATTTATTAGGACAACCAACAAGACAAACACGCATACATGGAATTACTGTAACTAGAAGTATTTAGAACTAAGTAGTTAAAATAATGACAAAAAATCTCATTGTATTTGTCTCATATTTGGGGAATGGAACTAATAGTTAAAATAATGACAAAAAATCTCTTTGGATTTGTCTCATATTTAGGGAATGTATTATGAGTAGTATAATATTAAAAGGATGCCAACAATTTCAAAGTCACCCTGTATGTCATCAGATCATACCAGTGAAAAAAAGATCGCCTATTTTATTTGGCAATACTTCGACATTAAAATATATTTACTATTTATGTATTCGTCATTAGAGTGGATAGCCCAGAAAGGAAATTAGTTTTTTGAAAGGCCTTAATATGGCTTTTTTGTAACTTTTTGGATGTTAGATAAAAACCTTCATTATTATAAGCCATTTTATTGATATTTAACTCAAAGATTAATGTGTTTCATTTTATTATAAGAAATTTTCGTAGTTTTTTAATATCCGGTATCCGGCCGGATAGTGAGCTACTATCCGGTATCCGGCCGGATACTAAATTTAGGCCGGATATCCGGCCTACCGGATAGTTGCCGGATATCCGTTTCATCTCTAATNATGGGACATGAAAGGTTAAGCAATTTGGCTATTCTATCCATCGAAAATTCTATGGCCCGAAATTTGAACTTTGATGATGTCATTAACACTTTTGCTGAACAGAAAGTCCGAAGAAAGGAATTTTAATAATTAAAATTGTGTACCTACTTAAAATAAAATTGTGATTTCAGTTCAATAGGTACCTTTAATTAAAAGTGAATAATTATAAAATCAAGAAATTATAATTATAAAGTTTGTATGTACCTACTTCACGTAGTGATTTATTAGTCAACTTTTACAAATAAAAGTGTATAAATAAATATAATAAAATAAAAAATACTATTGTTGTTGGTTCAGCTTCTTTATAATTGGGAAAGTGGGAGGGCCCATTCGATGAATTTGCCACGGGCCTCGAACGGTATAGTTACGCCACTGGGTACGACGTACCGTACATAAACAATATTCTATTCTACCTTAGCTCCAGGTTCCCTGCTACTTCGCTCGTGTTAAAGTGGCAATATGGTAATCCAGGTCCAAATGTATCATCATCATTTCAGCCATAGGACGTCCACTGCTGAACATAGGCCTCCCCCAATGATTCACAATGGCCGGTGTAGATTATAAATAAATCTTTGGACAATAATTTCACACAGCGCCAGCTAGCCCCAAAGTAAGCAACTTAATGCTTGTGTTATGGGTGCTAGCTTAACGGATATACTACTTATATACTTTTTTTTTTTAAATACATACATATTAATACATAGTCACACCCAGACCCGTCACAGAAATTAAAATTCATCATTTCAATTTCTGCCCGGCCGGGAATCGAACCCGGGACCTCTCGGCAGAGTAGTCCGTTCTGAACCACTACACCAAACGGCCGACAACATACTTACCAAATTGTAACCAAATACTTACCAAATTGTAACCAAATCCGTTCAGTCGTTGAGTTTTGCATTTGTTATAGTAGCAAGGAACAGCTGGCTGCTGGAGTTTGTTTTGAAAATTTTCACATTTCCGGACCTGTATTTTGAAAATGGGCAGGTATTTGAAAAAAGTGTTTAGGACAAAAGATCTAACTAGAACATTTAATTTTCATTGGCTTTAATCGCGTCATAGTCTCATAGATATTTTTTCTCTAGGAAACACCATTATACATATTGCAATAAACTCAAAAGTGGGAACCCTCCTATGACTTCGATGATTCCTTTTAGAGGCGGGGACTTTTGCATCCTGAACCAGTTTCTGAAAAAATTGCTTAGGTCCCAGCTCACGCACTCTCTCAAGAGAGGGTCTCTTTTGGTCACTTTTTAGGGTTTTAGATTCTGTCTGTCCGTATGTCACAGCCACTTGTCTTTTTTCCTAAACTAGAGCTATACTATTATACTGTTGATACTGGGTATGTAGGTAGATGTATTCTGTGGTGAACCGCATTAAGATATTTATATAAAAATAGAAAAAATATTGGGGGTCGGTCCCCACTCCCCATACTTAGAACTCTCTCTCTTAGCCTGACCCATTCCCATTTTATTTGGGGACGGCCCTCCGCGTCATTCATGCCTCTAGGCGGCTCGGTCCAGGGTTGTCTTACTGTTAACTTGGGCTTCTTTAAGGTTTGACATCCATGTAATTCGGGGTCTTCCTCGTCCGCGGGGCTTAGTTTGGATGTCTAGAACTTTTCTGGTCATATGGTTGGGTGGTCGCCTCATGATGTGTCCGTACCACCGCAGATGGCTCTCCTGTAATTTAGCTGGGATAGGTCTCACTTTGAATGCTTTGAAGGTGCCTCTTATGTGTGTGTTTCTTACATATTTATGGTCCAGCCTAGTTACACCACCTACCCATCTGATCATCTTCATCTCAGCGCAGTGCAATTGGTTTTCGTAGGTACATACTGCTTTTTGAGCGGCCAGCATTCGGCTCCGTATGTCATGGCTGGTCTGACGGCTGCTCTGTATGGGTTACCTACACCATATCGAATTACAAATGATCGAAAATCAAAATATCGAACAAAGATCAGAATATCGAATGATCAAAATATCGAACGTTCAGAATATCGAATTTACAAATGATCGAACAATCAAAATATCGAATGATTAAAATATCGAAAGTCGATCTTATGTTGCATAGTATAGGAAGATGGAGGTAAGGGTTCCTTGTTGACTATGGTACCCAAAAGTGGGAAATAAAAAAAATGAGTTTAAGAATTTATGTTTTATAATACATTAATAGTGTGACATTTAATTAAAACCTCTATATTGGTTTTTCGATATTTTAATCATTCGATATTTTGATCGTTCGATCATTTGTAAATTCGATATTCTGAACGTTCGATATTTTGAGCATTCGATATTTTGATCGTTCGATATTTCGATCGTTCGATAAAACGTGTTCGATATTTTGATTTTCGATGGTGTAGGTAACCCGCTCTGTATACCTACTCGTCCCTTTATGCGAACGGGCATTCGGGTCATAGAGTAACTTGTGTAATGAGATTCGGGTATCGCACCGCATAGTACGCCGGAGAGTTCTCTCCATAACGAGATCTAGTAGGTAAGTAGATTTTTTTTTAAATTTTAAAGTTACTACCTACTCCTTTCCTCATAAACGCGTAAAAAGTTATACAGGGTGGAATTTTGTAATGCCACCTGAAGGGAAAGTACACTAATACTGTAGATAGTAAATTTTACTCAAAGAAACCATTCCTTTATTTTTGAAAAGAAATAGAACTGCATTCAAAGATTTCCAAAAATTTACTTGCTACACCCGGGAATCGAACCAACTATGTTAAAAATTACACCCTGTATTTTTAATGCATCGATCGTTAGGGTTAAGTACAAGGATGAAATCTCTCAAACAAACTTGATAAATCAAATGTAAGGAAAACCATGAAATCTTAAATTATTGTAATTACCTATTTACAGAAAAATTTTTGGTATGGAGGTAAATTTTCGAAAAATTTTCGAAAATATTTGAATGCAGTTCTCTTTCTTTTAAAAAATAAAGGAATTTTTTCTTTGAGTAAAATTTTCTGTCTACAGTATTAAGGGTACTTTCCCTCCAGGTGGCATTACAAAATTCCACCCTGTATACCTACCTACCTTAGGTTTGTACGGAACCCTCGCCTCGGTGCGTGAGTCCGACTCGCACTTGGCCGGTGTTTGAGTTTTTACAAAGGCGTTAGCACCTTTCCTTTCGGGTAGATATCGTAATAGAACCCTTCATACTCTCGGGTATCAACGTGTAAATTCAAGGCACAGAGTACCTACTTTCAACGGGGCTTCAACCCGATTATAGTTAACTGCGCAGTTGCACACACCTAAAGTAATATAGGTACCTACCTACGGTACTTATTCTGTGCTACGGATACGGAACGAGGCGAACGCAGGAAGGCGAGTGTCTCTCTCTCTCACCTGTTGGTGAGTGCGTGGAAGAGACAAAAGTCGCATTTCAGCGAGGTTTACTTTCTAACGCAATATCCGATTAATCAAAATAAAATATCCATCTCTCTTACTCGAGTAAGAGTAGGTAAGTAAAAGCGATAGACCCAAAATTGCCTCTCAAGGTGTTTTGGAGCGCATTTTTTTAAAAGTTTGATGGTACACTACTAAATAGGCAGGTATTTTTAGGGCTCTAAAATAATGAACAATAATTTAATAATTAAAACTTTAATTCATAATGATTAATTTAATGATACACTTATGGCAGAAAAGCTAAGTATTAATATCGGTACATACATAGGACTGTTAAGTTCTAATTGATCACCCATGGATAAAGTTCATGATGATAATAAGATGAAATTCACTTAGATCAAATTTTACAGGTGATCAAAGTAGAATAGACCTTCAAATCAGGATTGTGTGTGTGTGTGTGAGTTCTTTTGATCTAACTTTCTTAACATGCATGAGTAGCAGTGATAGCAGGTAGAAATTAAATAAATTGTTTAACATTTACATAATAAGTACATGTTTAAATAAAACTCTTTATTTATTTTAATTACATTTTGTATTTACTTTAACTTTCTGTAAGTTTACAGGCAAGTTTTTAGCTTTGCACACCAAGCCTGAGAGTAAATAAACAAATACAGAGTATAATGGTTAGCACAGACTGTGTCACATGGGAATCATATTAGACTTCCCATTGGATTTCAGATAATAATAAATATTGGGGAATGCCCTTACCTTATACACTACATATTTTCTATTTGTAGTCAATTTCGATAAGCTGACTATGACACAATGCATGCCAACCATAAAACCACTTCATCAGTTTTAACAACATTAACTATCTAATAATAATAATATTATAACAGCATTTTTACATGAATTCTACTACAAATAACATAATTAGAGTACTCCTATTCCAACTTTCCACCTGTGGGTAGAAAGATGACATCACACAAGAACAAATTCCTCTGATTCAATATCAGTATCACTATCGTGAATGTTTGGAGTAACCCAGTTTTGTTCATTTTCATATATGGAATATCTAATATTTGGTGGGTTCATAACGCTGCTACGAGATCCATTATGCAATGTGAATATAGGATATTCAAAATTGGCTGAGACACCCTGGGGAACTAGGAATGATGTAATAATATTAACAAATGTCTCAAAATCATGCTGAGTTCCTAAATAAAAACCAATACAACATGAAGGATCCATTTTACTGAGAGGCATTTTGCGGGGGGATCGACAATGAAAAGTTTGTAATGAGAAGTTAGGCTGCCACACATCTATCATTTCTTGGCAGTAATGCGGGTCTAAATGTATCAATCTGTCTTCTTGGTAACCAATAAAATATAATGAATGTTTTGGTCTGCCGCCTATTATCCCAATACAAAAATCCAAAGTCAGCAAAGAAGTTAGACATGGACCATAGATAGGGTTAAATTTATCAGTACCTAATTTAACAGGAACTAAAAGTATAAGAGATTTCCAACAGCCATTAGGCAACTGACAACTGGAATATACATCTTGGACATAAATTGTTGAGTCTTGAGCAACATATACTTCTAAACTATCAAACTCATAATTTTCTTTGGAAGCTGCTGTCATTACAGCTTTAAGACAGTGTGCCACAGAGGCAGGCCCATACCAATCACCAGGTTTTTTACCCAAAGATTCACCCAATCTTACCATATGATGAATAGATAATGGGCTATTTACTGATGATTTGTCACCAAACCACTTTATTATCATACGATGAAGACAGTCTTCTTGAAATTCTCTTGCATTCTGTATAGGTTTTTCTGGTGACCACCTCCATGAACGTCCAAGAAAATGGCAAACTAATGCTTGAGCTAGCATCATTTGCCCACTACGGAGCATGCAACCCCATCCACAATCGGTGGTAAATGTAGAACCAGACATAGTTGGAAATTCTCTTCGGTATGTCATCCACAATTTACTGATAAAATCAGATTTGAATCCTTCTATACCCTCGCCATATATTTGCTCAATAGGTTGCTGAGCAGTTGCTTCAGTTCCGATTTCAGTTGACGACTCAAGAGAACCAGTTGGACTTAATTTTCGATGATAACAACGTCCCAACAGCCAAACAGGCGATTCCTTAGAAAAACTTGTCTTCAGTTTAACTGTCCATCCAAATTTGACGTTATTCCACATAGACAGTAAGCGAGATTCCACCTTTCCTTTGAGGTCGAGCAAATCATCGGAACCGTCACGTCCATTGTCTTTGGATCCAGCAGGTTTAGTTCTATCCAGCCTCAAGGCGGGTGTTCCTTGTGTAGCATCATTATTGGCTCGCGTTGATAGTTCTGGAATCTCGGAACTAAGTGTTGAAGGCGGTCTGTTCATTCTACATAATTTATGTGTAACTCCAAAGAAAGGATTTTTTGGTATCACTGATTATGATACATCTTGCTTCATTCTGTCTGTGCACTCTTTGAATCTCACAATTAACCAAGCACTTGTGACATTGTTCTACTTAAATAAAATTAATCTTTTACTTGGAATATTTGTATAGGTCACATTAAATTCATTAGTCCACGAAATCCAGAATTGAAAAAAACCAAAATAAAATTCACACCACCCACCCTAAGCACCCACCACAGACAACTGTCTCAGTGACATACAGGGTGAAGAAACTTCCATACAACGGTCATCGAAGTGAAACTTGCTTCCAAACAGCGACATCGGTGAATAAATTCAAATACTTTTTAACTACCCTAAAACGCTCTAGATGTCGCTGCTCCTGTTTCCTTCATATTTTCATTTTTTTCTTAATTAAAATATATTTGAGAATATTGTTAAAGCTTTCCGCCCGCGGCTTCGCCCGCGTGGAATTTTGTCTGTCACAGAAAAACTTTATCGCGCGCGTCCCTGTTTCAAAAACCGGGATAAAAACTATCCTATGTTCTTTCCCGGGACTCAAACTATCTCTATGCCAAATTTCATCAAAATCGGTTGCGAGGTTTAAGCGGGAAAGCGTAACAGACAGACAGACAGACAGACAGACAGACAGACAGACAGACAGANTAGTTGAACGATGGTAGCGCCCCCCTGTCATTGAGTTTGGCGGGACAGTTCAGCGTGGGTCATCTATAGACAAGTCACACTTTTCGAAAATCGAATTCGTTCGAATAGAATGTCAGATTTTGCCACTCGTCTAAGGGGCAGATCAATTCGGGCGATTTCGGTTGCCATCGTGAGTATGTGATTGAATAGCGAAAATTCAATTAGTTTACTTGCTGCGTAATCTGACTGAACTGCATTATACAGGTTGACTTTGAAATCGTTGGCATTCTTTTTAAAATAAGACTTTACTCATGATTCCCCAAATATGAGTCATATCAAATGAATAAAAATTTCAATATTTCAAATCTTGTACAGAAGACAGCATCAATCTTCATTCTGTGGCATGTTATATCAGTGTATTAAGTGTTATTTTGCAACAAAATGTATAGGATGATGTGCTGTTGACTCTACAATAGTTTTAAACTCTCTTTAAGAGCACACTAATACAAATACATAGTTTATTTTATTTTATTTATTAGGACAACCAACAAGACAAACACGCATACATGGAATTACTGTAACTAGAAGTATTTAGAACTAAGTAGTTAAAATAATGACAAAAAATCTCATTGTATTTGTCTCATATTTGGGGAATGGAACTAATAGTTAAAATAATGACAAAAAATCTCTTTGGATTTGTCTCATATTTAGGGAATGTATTATGAGTAGTATAATATTAAAAGGATGCCAACAATTTCAAAGTCACCCTGTATGTCATCAGATCATACCAGTGAAAAAAAGATCGCCTATTTTATTTGGCAATACTTCGACATTAAAATATATTTACTATTTATGTATTCGTCATTAGAGTGGATAGCCCAGAAAGGAAATTAGTTTTTTGAAAGGCCTTAATATGGCTTTTTTGTAACTTTTTGGATGTTAGATAAAAACCTTCATTATTATAAGCCATTTTATTGATATTTAACTCAAAGATTAATGTGTTTCATTTTATTATAAGAAATTTTCGTAGTTTTTTAATATCCGGTATCCGGCCGGATAGTGAGCTACTATCCGGTATCCGGCCGGATACTAAATTTAGGCCGGATATCCGGCCTACCGGATAGTTGCCGGATATCCGTTTCATCTCTAATGAATACTGTGGTATCAAGATAAATAGAAGAGTATTTTGTTCCAACTGCCTTGTATACCTAATGTCTATAATAGGTATTTTAGCTGAAGTCTTATAAAGCCTGGTCTGCGAGCACGTAGAATTTTGTCCAATGACCCCAAGCTACCCATCCTTGTCGCTCGCGCGTAATTATATTGCTGTCGCGACTGTGCGACGAGCGCTCGCAGTGAGTGTGCGAGCACGACAGCAACATAATTACGCGCGAGCGATAAGGATGGATAGCTTGGGGTCATTGGACAAAATTATACGTGCTTGCAGACCAGACTATAGATATATTACCTTCAGAATGAGACCCCTTCATCGTAAGGGTTTGCTGAAGGTATCTTCAATAATGCACAGGCTTTCTTATAATTAACTCTTATTGTGTCAGCGAGCTGGAGAATGTCTTGGTCTTCCACATTCGTTCTGGGAAACTCATCTATAAGTTTCTTTACTTTCAAAAGTTGGCTTGAAATCTTTTCTGAATACTTCACTTCTGCTTTCTCATTCAGTTCCAAGTGATGAATTACAACCCCCAAGTAGTGACCTGAAATATTGTACAACAATAGATTATAGAGCATTATGTTACTATAGGTCTTAGATTAATAATCTAAGCTATAGGTAGATAATGATAGCATTTCACTGCCAGAACTCTAATGCATCATTTGGATGAAATTAAAGTCTCGGTGAATTTCATGGTCTTACCTAATTCACGACCAAGCTCTGCACCTCTGTGGTACCCCAAGTGGTAGCCTTCAGGATTACCAGCTGCCTTACCAGCTTTGAAACCCTCTTCATAACTCTTTTTGTTTGCAGCTTCTTCGCTAAGGAATATCTCTTCTAAAGCGTCATTAAAATCTTTCTCTACTACGGCTTCTGCCATTTATTACATCAAAATATTAATGTTCTGCATGAGGAAATAAACAATTATTTATAGGTTAGAACATGTGTTTTTGACATATGATTGGTTTGACTTGACATTTGTTGACATTGTTAGTGATGCGTATTCACTTATCAAAATGAGTATTAAGAAGTATTTCAGAAATGTGATTTTTTCATTGATGATTTTATTTAAAATTCAAAATGGTCGAATCCTACGTTAGGTAATTGTATGAAATTTTACTCTGTCTCTACCCATTTGTAGAACGTAACACCCTGAAGAAAACAAAATCTATATTTACAGACCAGGCAAGTCAAATAAATTAAATTGTAAATAGTAATGATGGCTATCAAGTCAAACAACGTGGATAAAGACTGCTAATTAATTTATTCCGTAATAAACGGTGAATTTTGACCTGAATGTCTCCAACTTCCTCATTGACCCTAGAGCAATTCCAAGTATACCATCAATAAAAGCCTAATTAGAGTCATCAAACCTCTCAGTCATTCAATTAGAGCCATTAGAACTTCATAACTATGAGTTGTTTTCTATGTGTAAGCTGAGGACACGTGTCTCCAGCTGACACATCTGTATCTTCGTAAATATTTATGCTACGATAATGTATTATACCTCAAAAATTACAGTCGAATCCAAATAGTAGGCTTTCCACTTTTCAAGACTTTAGCTCAAATACTGTTAAAACCACGATCAAAAAACTATGTGCGAGCTGGAGTACCGTGTCTCCAGCTTACACATCTGTATCTTCGTAAATATTTAAGCTACATCAATGTTTTATATCTCATAAATTAAAGTCGAATAAAAAAAATTATTTGATCTTTAAAACGCAACTCTAACTTATACGGTTTTAATAATCCACCGTGTGTTACGTGTCACCAGCTTACACATACGTATCGGTTCGTAGTTCGAAAACGGTTCGAAATAAAGCTTTGAAAGAATTGAAGTCGGGTTTTTTTATTCGACTTTAATTTATGAGATATAAAACATTGATGTAGCTTAAATATTTACGAAGATACAGATGTGTAAGCTGGAGACACGGTACTCCAGCTCGCACATAGTTTTTTGATCGTGGTTTTAACAGTATTTGAGCTAAAGTCTTGAAAAGTGGAAAGCCTACTATTTGGATTCGACTGTAATTTCTGAGGTATAATACATTATCGTAGCATAAATATTTACGAAGATACAGATGTGTCAGCTGGAGACACGTGTCCTCAGCTTACACATAGAAAACAACTCATAGTTATGAAGTTCTAATGGCTCTAATTGAATGACTGAGAGGTTTGATGACTCTAATTAGGCTTTTATTGATGGTATACTTGGAATTGCTCTAGGGCCAATGAGGAAGTTGGAGACATTCAGGTGAATTTTGGGGCTTAACCATGAAGCTTAAGATAAAATGGAGGCCGCACTCCGAATACCTACTTGAAGCTCAACTTATGTATCACTATCTCGCTCTCTGTGGGCAGGCTCTCTCTTTCTAAATAAACAAAAAATATAAATTTGCTCAAAGTCAATGAAACTTAATGTAAAATCTTTATTTCTTGACATAGGTATCATTAAATGATAAGACAAGTGTAAATACTGGTAAAACGTTTTAGGAAGAAATTACTGTGAAAAATGTGAAAAATGTTTACAATGATCCAATGTCGGAAATCAGGAAATAAACACTTACGCGTGGAATCTTAAGTCATTTCCAGGACACCACGTACTACCGCAACCACGCACTACAAAATTTTCTTGTGATAAAACAATGATTATGTCCTGTATAAAATTTCAAACGAAATTAACTGCATAATAAACAAAATAGTAAACAACCGCCATGATGGGCCGGATTGGGCCGATGTTGCCACATGGTACCGATTTCCCAGGAATTGGGAGTGTAATTCCCTGATTCGCCAACACATTAAGCCTAAACGGCCGACAATTTTGTGATTTTTAATTTAACTAGATAATCGTAGTTCAAATATTTAATTATTTATTTGTTTAACTTCTGATTTGGTTAGTGAATTGGCTATTTCGAAGAATTTACTAGGAGATTTCAATAAGGAGATAGCATAGCAATACTACAGTCCACACTAAAAAGAGAGGTCGGCCCACAGAGAGCGAGATAGAGATAAGTAGGTATTTGACTCAAGTTGTTGTTTCAAGTGTGGCCTCCATTTTTATCTATAGCTTCATGGGCTTAACGTGACCTATGAAATACACGAATGCAAAATATCAAGTGCTGCAAATGCTGCAATCGCCTCACTAGTGTGAATCATGTGACTTGTGAGTGACAATGACATTGACAGCCAACTGATTTTGACATTGTCATGATGACATTTCATTGTGATTGATTTCATTTCATTCAAGCTTTTCAGAAATTATTGGTGAAAGGTTGCACAAACTAGTGTAATTTCAATTCAAATTCAAAATAGTTATTCACAAGTTTATAAAATGACTACTGAAATTAGCATCAGTGAAGTAAAAAAGCACAAAAGTAAGAAAAGTTTGTGGATGATAATTCACAACGATGTTTACGATGTCACAAAATTTTTGGAGGAGGTAAGAAATTTAAAGTTATGTATGTAGGTCAGTTCTAGTAAATTAACAGCAATATGTTTTGTTTTAAAAGTCCATAGTAAATAATAAATATCTATACATTCATTTACTTAGTGGCTGTACAGTGTAGTTTAAAAAATGACAATAGTATTATTAATGTAAGGTGTTTAAATATTAATTTCAGCACCCAGGAGGCGAAGATACATTATTAGAAAATGCTGGAAAAGACGGCACCCAGCCTTTTGAAGACGTTGGTCACAGTGAAGATGCTAGGTAAGTGCTAAATACAAAACTACATAGTTATGTTTAGGTACATAGTGTGTGCTTGCTTAAGATGTTAGATAATAAAGGTTGAATTATAGTCTAACAACATGTGTAATGTGTTGAAAAAATATTGTGGTCATGTATCTTTGATTTCAGAGAACTGTTGAAGAAATTTAAAATTGGGACCTTACCAGCAGCTGAAAAAAGAAAAGATGTTCCACAAAACTGGTAAGTTCTCACTTGTCTTTTTAGTTATTACAAGCTCAAATACTATTGCCACTAAGATTTGCTTTCAATGTTTATTTTGCAGTTGTAAAAAATGTTCACCTGCAAAGAGTTACAGGTTTTTCTGTAATTTATTATCTTTAGTTCTTAATTTACCGAATTATTCTTACTAACATACATACAAATATTATTTGTATAGGCTTTCTTAATTTGAAGTACCTAGGTAAGACCTGAGTAGCAGTAAGTCAGTGTAAATTATTTTGGATTTTTTCCAGCACTTTGATAACAAACTGCTGCAATGTTGGTTCAATAAACAGCACATCAATAATACTTAATAATATTTGTATAAGTGCAAGATTTGCTTAGTTTGATACTAGAGGTGCAGTGTAGTCCTAGGATATTTATTTATTTATCATTTCGATAAAAAATAGCATGTGTTATTATGATGCCACAGTTTTCAGCTTTATGTGCTGTTATCTGTACTGGTTTATGATTGTAATTAGTTTTTATTCTAACTAAGCTTAGTATGCTAGATAATATTATGTGTAAATGTAGGTACCTAGTTGTTATAAATGTTAGGTTACTTAGCAAGGGTAAATAGATAGTTGGTTTGTGGAGATTTTTGCTATCTTCTAGTTTCTAGCTAGTAATTGATAATATTTTAGGTAATACTTCTTACTTGATATTAGATGATATTATATCATTTTAATAATGTAATAAAACCATTTTTCAGTACTCCATGTCCCAGCTGCAATCTTGCAAGGTTACTATGACTAATTGTTAATTAAATTCATTCATACTTTATTTCAAAGAACATTCTTAAAATCTTTCTAATTGAATTGCAGCATTCCCAAAACTGAGTCAAAAACATGGAGAACATTTGATGGATCTTCCTGCAGGTTCTTTTTTTCTTTTTGTACTCACATAAAAGATTATTTGTTCTTTTTGTTGGTATTTCTTTTACATTATTTATTTTAACAATAGTCGAACAAGACATCCAAGATCTTCTTACAAAACACCGAAGACGCCAAAGGCAGAGAGGAGATGCGACGCTATTGTGGTCCCTACTGAAAGGTTCTTCATTTGCATTTATTTATGAAACCGATTAGTATACCTACCTCTACAGATTATACGGAGTCTTAGCAGTTAGTATTTGAATTGGTTTCCCTTCTTAAAGCTCAATCAAACTACAATGTGTATATTATAACATTGAAACTCTTTTTTAAAGCCCATACTGATAAATGTACCAATAGAAAAATATTGAAGGTAGTTTTCCTTTTCAAGGCGGCCGCGTGGGTTGCCATGCGGTAATGAAAGGTTCACAGTTTGCCTGCCACTTGTGAGTAGTTATAGTGAGGTAGCTAGAGTAAATTAACATGTAACATTTGTTTTAAGGAGAAGGAGGCCGCCGTCTCCTCCGCCAAGGTTTTAGTTTTCATTTGTTTTGTAGCCATTTTGGTGTAGCTTGTTGCGGGTAGATGGATCTTTGGCAGTCGCTTTTAGTGAAACCTTTATATGTATTTACAGATTTTAAATTGGGTCCGACGCAAAATGTGCACTACTAATTTACAACTAATTTTATAGAATCAAATTCTTCAGCCTGTACATTTGTTTAGAAAAGTGCGCATTTAAGTACACATTCTGCGTCAAGACACTCTAAATTGTTTTTATAGTGACTGTTAATATAGCAATTAATGCCAAGTTTAAATTAATTGGAATAAAGGAAGATCCATTTACTTGATATTTATAGACGTAATATGAATAGTTTCCTGTTCGATGACGTAATTTAATACATACTTATGTACGTAACTAGATAAGTAAGAATATTGACATTAATACGATGTAAATAAATGCGATAGTTTTAGCGACTTTATTTTAGGCAAATCGAATTGTATTCTTTTAACTTAAAATTATTAAGCAGCTAATTAACTAATAACTTTTATTTTTGGGTGACTGAAATGCCGTTATTAGCACGTTTTTGTGCTATTCGTTGCGAAACTTTCAATTTGTTTGGAATATAGTGCGAGCTGGAAGACGTAGCGTGGGCAGGCCTCCCACTAGGTGGACCGACGATCTGGTGAAGGTCGCGGGAAGTACCTGGATGCAAGCGGCGCAGGACCGGTCTTTGTGGAAATCCTTGGGGGAGGCCTTTGTCCAGCAGTGGACGTCTTTCGGCTGAAACGAACGAACGAACGAACGATAAGACCGCCCAAATTGTGATGTCTCTTTTTCTTTTATTATATCTTGTATTTCTTTCTTTTTATTTCGTGTGTTTTATAAAAAAAAAACTTAACTTCAAAAAGATGTCACAGTGCAGGATTTTGTATTTGTATCTTATAGTAATTTTCGTAGAGTATACAAATTTATCATGTCATTAATTAATATTGTCGCATAGTGAAGTGTATTAGATGCACTTACCGGTACCAAATATGTATAGCAATTACGTTACTTAATGTATAAAACTGTAAATAGTTATTATGTAAGTAAATACTTGTTTATTTTGTTTTGTGTAATAAATAAGTAGAAAATGAATTAATTTGCAAATAGGAAATCAATATCAGATTGCGATGTTAATCAAGTACGACGTACCTACAACCCGGTCAAGTTAACTGCGCACCTAACCTAATTATGTCAGTGTGTGCGTTCGCGCCGCATACGTATTAGCGCGCTCACATACAAACCGCGCCCGGTGCGTTTCTATGAAGATAACCTACTTATTTGTATTTACTCTGGTTGTAGTGACGTCACAGCTGCCAGATGCGCAGATAACTTGACCGGGTTGTATATAATTTCTAATAATGTATTTGGCCGTACTGATTATGGGAATTCGCCTATTTGCAAATTAATAGTATTGAAAGCCTTTGTTTGACTATTTTGTTTTTGTTTTCAGCAACACACTCAAATGGGCACTTCTCGCGTTGGCTGGGGCAATCATCATTGGTGTCGTACTAAAGAAAACCATGGGATAGAAACTGAAGAGTTGTGTAGGGGTCCAATCCAAAATGTTAGGGCTAAGTGTAAGCCACTGTGTAGAACTGTGTAATCCTGTAACTGAACCTGCGCTGACACGGCTTACTACTTATAACTATTTATACATGTTTTTATTATTTATATTATTACACTGTTATTGTAATTATTACACGGATTGAATTACTTCAATTGTAACTGAAACGTTTTAAATTCACGGATGAAACGAATTTGTCATAGTATATTTTTATACTTACTTTTTATTATCAACTAACTGTCTTTGGTAGAATACAGGGTGTACTTTTCTGTAGAAAACTTTAGTCGATAGTCGATAGTGAGCAATCACTACTATATTATTTGTTTTAATAAATCGATTCAGTTTTAATATTATGAAAGGATCTAACATTTCTAATACTTTCATCGTTTTTCTTTGAGTCAGGATTAAAATCGATTGCATTTTTTTCCTTTAAGGCNCGTGACTGAGAAAGTCGTGTGCGCGCGCAGGTTTGGTTGTGTATAATTATAACTTGAGGCATGTGTTGCTATTTATTCTAAAGCTGAGTGATTGGAGACTTGGAGTGTTTACTTATCGTAATTTTATTGTTAATATGTATTTAATACATTATTCCAATGTGGTATTTACTCTTTATATCCTTAACGAATTATGAGATTTGTGACGATTAGTTTACTTAAACATTACAAAGCAAACTCAAATAGTGAGTACAAATTTTATTTAATGTAAGATTTTTACTATTTATACACCTCTTTTAATGCTATTTAGATAGTATGGAGTAAATAGAAGATACTCAAATTATACAATAATTGATGTCCGTATTTAAGACAATAAAGCAAAGCTTTTAAAATATGGTCTTTTATTGCATGAAATTAAGTAGGTAAGCACCTACTTAGCCTCTTGATTTATGTTTTCACAAAAAAAATATACCATACTATAAAATACATTATAGTAATTCATTCAGTACCTTTAGACTAATAAATATGTAAATAAAAATGCAAAACCAAAATGTATGTTAACAACTGACTCATCATTAATTGCGCTACATTTGGAAATTATTATTGTTTTAGAACCTTTTGTACCCTTTGCACCACCGGCCTGCACCACTGGTGGTGCAAAGGGTATTTTTTAATCCCTTTTGCACCACCAATAGTGCCGCCCTACCATTAACTGTAAAACGATTATCTATAATCATATAATATTAATATTTTATAGAGGAAAGATTTGATTGTTTGTTTGTACTGAATAGGCTCCGAAACTACTGGACAGATTTGACAACATAACAAAATTAATAACAACTATTCATACCTACATACAACGAATAATATTCCTAAAGTACCAGGGCAACATAATCATAAAGGAGCTATATCAAATTCTTCTTGGTTGATCCGCGAAATAAACATGTATAAAATAGCTCCTTTATGGTTATGTTGCCCTGGTACTTTATTCGTTGTATGTAGGATGTAGGCCCGTGGTATCGTGGGTCTGAAGTTTATAGGCACTTGCACACACAAATTAAAACTTTTAGGTAGGTTTTGATTTATTTATAACAATTAAATTATTAAGTATTTTACAGTCTACTACTAGTTTTACAGTCGATGGTAGCACAGCACTATTTGTTGGTGGTGCAAGAGGGATTTCAAAATACCCTTTGCACCACCAGTGGTGCAGGCCAGTGGTGCAAAGGGTACAAAAGGGTTTTAGAAGGAATCTCACTATAATACCACGTTGCATTATTACGTAACTACAATACTGGTTATAAATGTCCTATTTTGTGACGCTAATAAAAAGGAACATTAAAATGTTTGAACTACTACAGTAATGAGCATAGACACGAGCGTTACGACGCTCACTGCGCATGAGTTGGCACCGGAATGTCCCCACTTGGTGGCGTGCATGACTGCGTGGTACACGTAGTGCTGCTCGTGCACGTTGTGGAACAGGTGCGCGTGCGGCCCTGGAAGTGTTCAATAGGCTAGTTTCCTAAAAAAAATTTTTTAGTCCGTCATGTTTAATATCAAAAAATATTGGACACATATTTTTATTTGTCAATCTAACAAATAATTACATAGTTATGGTGCGTTGAAGTTCCGCACGACGTCACAACGTGCGGCACTTTTATGCAAGCATTGACGTCACGGGCCTCTTCTTATGAACTTTGGCGCGCTTTATCTCTTTAAATTAATAAATTTTCATTAGTTTGAAAAAGTGAGAAATACGTGTAGAGTATTTTTTGATAAGTTAACTGACGGACTAATTAAAACTTGCTTTTTGACCCAGGAAACATCCCTATTATGATATAGTCACCAGCACTTCTACCTACCTATTTTTTTTTTACAAAATAACAGCTATTTATTACATTGCAACTACCTAAATAAGATTAGGCAACGTGTTTGTTTACATTAACTTGCCGCGGCCGTCTGAACAAAAACATTTCTGTTTAGCGAAGAAATAGTGGTAGGTTACAACAACCCACTTCTTTTTCAGCACCTACTACGCTTTTCTACTGGTTCGAGCACGAGGACATAGGAATTTATTATTTCTTGTTATCCTAACATTCAGTAGCCTTATATCTTATCTGCAGAACTAGTGAACGAATGCTACATTCCTAAGCAAGAATTAATAAAGAAAATTGTTTCATTTCTTCTAAGCTATTTTGTTGTTTTTCACTTAGAAAAGTAAGAACAATATGGGATTACCTCTAGCATAAATAGCCACATCACCACCTCCGTGGATGTTCTCCACGCCGCGTATGGCAGCGATCTGGTGGTAGTCCATGCTCTCTGTGTCATCAAGTGACGGTTCTCGTCGCATCACCGTTGTCTCATTGTCTACGGTCTTCGCATAGAACTGGAAAGCGTCTGGGCCTCCAACGCCGTAGGACAACGTTGTGTAGTTAACGCCGTCATAGGGCGATGGTTGAGCGATTCCTTAAAGAAATGTTGAAATTACTGTAGATTGTTATAGGTAGTAAGCATTTTCTTGTTCCTTTGTGTCTTGTCTAGCTACTAGGAAGGTAAGAACGTTGGTCTTCTTCGGCCGTGCCATTATAGGTAGGTACGTTAGCCTTATGCTAGGAAAACTTATCTAATTTGAGAAAGGATTGGAGAAAGGGCGCTGCTGAACTTCTTTTATTCCGTGGGTTGCAACTTTTACTCAACAATATCCTTGAATACCCACCAAAAACACTAGTGCCTCTGTCGGGATAGCCATTTATTGACAGCGTGTGCGTGTGGTCACTGGTGACTATCAGCAATGTGTCCTCCTCGTCAATCATGCTCATGGCCAAAGCGACAGCCTCCTCCATCGCTGCTGACTCGTTCACGGCGACTTTGGCGCGCCCGCGGTGGTGAGCCATGTCTATGTTACCGCCTTCTACCTTGAGGATAAGTATTATTTAGTGAGAACTCTGAAATAGTGGCACAATCATTAGAAACAATTTTCGAAAATACAGACCATAAGAAAATATCCATCGCTATTTCTTCTCAAAACTTTTATCGCCGCTTCCACCATGTCAGAAATGGTGGGCATACCCTCAGGCCCTTTGTCTTTTTGGTACTCGTATTCCATGTGGCTGTCCGCAAATATTCCTGGAAAAATTATATTTTAGTCATCACAAAGAAATCTCTTACAAATGCTTGCTTAGGTTATAGGTCTACTTACCCATAAGGTAATCGGTCTCGTTTTCGTTAAAATTCTGAAGTTCCCCGTTATTCATGACAACGCTGTACTTAAGTCCTCGGGACTCCTTGTCCTTCTTGTACTCTTCTATCAAATTTCGTCCGTCTACTCTTGCACAGTCCCAAGCATTAGTTGAGCCATTCGACGATGCGACCAGGGTGTTTCTGCCACCGCCTAATATTACCTGAAAATAAAGAGTTATTTCAAAACCTTAGAGTGGAAATTCTAAGTGGTTTTGTTTGTAGGTAACCAAGTACCTAGTCGACTTTCTGTAAACTTTTTCGTGACCGAATTAAAGTTGAAATTGACTTCTTCTATCTTGTCATTTCACTGGCTCGAAGTAAGAATACCTAACACCTCTGAAAGACCTACATAGAATTATAAATAACTTGAAAAAATCGAACTGCCTAAGGCAGTTCGATTTTTTCAAGTTATTTATAATTTTCAAATTAGTTTGAGATGCGACTCTAAACGCTAAAAATTTAATGACCTACATAGAGTTTGAAGTTCAACTGTTCTAAGTAGTTCTTCAAAAGAACTACGTTTTAGTGCTCGGTGATCATCAACTTACGTTCAAATTCCTTCCTGGCTCATCCTCGACAAGCTGTCTGGCGATGTCCTTGCACTCCTTGGCAGTTTCGGGTATGAACGCGTCGCACTCCCACACTCGGTCTGCGCTGTGAGCGTACAGGGGACTGGGTGTCGCATGGGTCACCCTCATTGTTGTCACGAAGCCTGGAAATGGTGAAGCAGGTACTTTTAGGGTCATTGCACATAAGCCCAAATGGCACAAAGATTAGGTATGTATTGAAGTACCTTTATAATAAAGATTTTATCTCCTACTAGGAGAATGATAAAAATCTTACAGGTTCATTAGTTCATTAGTGTGGATAAATCGACTCAACGTTTGAGTAGTGGTTTCCTATCCAAATTCGTTCGTTTCAGGTTTCAGCCAAAATAAATGACGCACATCCTATCGACAGGCAAATAGTAGGTATATTTATAATTTATCGCATATTATATTAGTAGGATTTATTTCGACAACCAACAAGAAAATCATGAACAAGGAAATAAATAATTAAACTACCTATAAATGGGTTAATTTTAAGTATTGTAATCTTGAGGATTAAGTCATAATTAAATATAGTTCAAATAAGCTTATGCCTGAAATAATATTGTGTTTATATTTTCAAAATTTCGATTCGTAGGTAGGTACCGTAATGTAATCATTTACACATACCTAAGTAGGTAGGAAAGTACCTAATTATCTGAACTACCTGTAAGACATTTAAATTGGCTCTACTCGTATCCCTTTTTTTGTCGCGGAGGAAATGCTTTATTTTTAGGGTGGGTATGTAATTGGGATAGATTCAAAAGCAATAATTTGCAATGCCTGTCTCTAAAAAAGAATCCAATGAACCTCACCAGCAGCCTTTCCGTCCGCCAGTGCTGCGGCCGCCAATGACGTCAGCCTGGCCTCTGGCAGGAGAGACCTGGCGCAGTCCTGCTTCATCACCGAGGCGTCCACTCCAACGGTATCCTTGTTGATCTTCACTCCAGTGAAGAGTGCGGTTGCAGTACATGCAGAGTCCGGCACCATTTTGTCTGCTGAGTATGTCTGCAAGAGTTTTCATAAGAATAATGAGACCATAGTCATAGTCATAAAATTGCATCATGTTGGTACATACCCAGTGGCGGATTTACAGTTTTGCCGCCCGTAGGTTAGGGTGGGGTGGGGTTGGATCTTTATTTAACTTTTATCTACTGAAATCGAGTAAGCGTCATCTGAAATCTGCCACCCCTAGGCCGTGGCCTATACGGCCTATTGACAGATCCAGGACTGTACATACCTAAATACCTATTCATCATCAACAGGTAATTTAGTTTTCACTGCATAAACAGTATAAACACTATCCTCTCTAATTTACCAGAGGCAAATAAAGGGATTTGCCCTACATTCCCCACACTGGGTTTATCTAATGATGTTTGCATAGGTATTTTCTCACTTAGTCGCCTCTTACGTCATCCAAGGGAAACAGGGGTTGGTCCTACTCGTAGTTTTTTCTGCCGGAACCACACGGCTATTTAACTTTGATTAAACGAATCACAAATACATGCCAACCACTAAATGTAGAGCATCTTTTACGTTACTTTAAAATCTATTAAGTCTTTTAACTTCCAGATGCGCAATCTCAAAACGTTCAAATGTCTGGACGGACTAAATGTTTAAAAACTCGTAGTCAAACCTTCAAAAGTCCTATATGTGGAAACTTCTCATACACGAGCCTGTGTGATTCTCCGCCCTTATACATCCTGGTGGCCGTGACGGTGTTGGGCCCCATGCCGTCTCCCACGAAGACGATCACATTCTTGGCAGTCCGGGTGTTCCATTTCAACTGAAGAGCCTCCTCCAGTTCCTGCTTTGCCAAGTCCTTCCAATACTGCTGATCTAGCATTAGAATACGAGTAAGATTAATTTGTAATGCGTTCGATATCTCTAGATATTTTTAACCGACTTCTACAAAAGGAGGAGGTGCTGAATTTGGTTGGTTTGTTTTTTATTTTATAGGGCGTAGCTTCATAGCAACAGCTCGTTAGGCCAATTCCCACCAAAATGGGGAGAAGAGGGAGACGAGAGATGTGTTTTGAATTAACCATCTCCCTCGACGTTTTGGTGGAAACTGGGCTTTATAGCAATACTTTTGTAAGTAATTGTACCTATTTTTTGGATTTTAAAGCAATATTATTTTTTGCTAAGCCTTAAGTAGGTAATATTATTAACTTGCAGTTGAGACAGTTTGCGGGCGCCCTTGAGACGACCTGTCTCCATTTGCAGACCGTAAAATTTACAAATAATATGCAAACAATATGATAATTATAATGCAATTTGTAACTTTTGTTGTTAAACAGATTTCGTTATCTTGTTTAATCGCGGATTAGTTCCGAATAAAGATTATCGTTAGTTTAATCTCAGATTGTAACGGAAACGCTTACTTATTTCAGAGATAAATAACACATAAATAATTTTTAACTGTCTGACGATTTTAAACAATGAATTAACGTTAGCTGAAAATAGGCAAGTGTCTATACAAATAAACTAAGTTTGCAGAAAGTTTTTGCGTCGTCAGTTATGTTGCGCGGCTATCAATCAACCTATACTGAAATAAAACACTGTGTTGACTGACTGACTAACAGATGTTAGTTCACTAAAATTAATGGAGGTTAGAGAATAGATTTAAGTGTCCTTCATAAAAAATACATTCCATATGGGATATTTTTCAAATAACAGCTTCTTGCAAAGAACATTTCCAGTCCAATCTGTGACAAGTAAGTCTTTCCATTAACAATTTTAAAGTACATAATATAAAACTGGATATTTGATCAGACAACGTCATATACAGATGAAGTCGCCGTTAGTCTTGGCATTCTCCACCACTCAACTGTACGACATCAAAAATGCATGTTGCATGATAAAAGTATTCCACCTTCTTGATAAGTAATTAAACCGGTTTTCCTCATCATCTTATCAATAAAATAAACACTGCAGCGACTGATTACCAACAAAAAATACATTTTCAGCAAGTGTCTCAATGTCAACAACTCTCAATAACATCTACGAGTTTGTATGTTTAGACACTTTATATTGTTCAATAAACAAGGACTGATCGATTATACCACGTGCCGGTTACAACCACGCGTAAAAAAACTTTCGTAAATAATTTTATCGTTATTTCTATATCAAAAATAACCTTGACTATCAGTGAATGCGTAGTATAACTTTCATTATAAGTAGTGTCAATGTTTTATTTAAAAAATCACTCACCAGTCCGAAGAGAATCAGCTGCTCGGAAAATAAAGAGCGCAAAGGTTACCACTGAATAGGAGCGCATAGTGAATACTGCGGAACACGCGACCGCCGGCATGCGTGCGCGCCGGTCGTGGCTTTGATTGGGTGGACGTAGGGCTGTCTACTAAGTCGGTATTACGGTAGAATATTTTTTTATGATTTAGGAATGAAATTTAAAAGATAGAAAGAGAAAAAAATATGATGATGTATAGATTTTCAATAATATTCTGTAAGTCTATTTTTTGCAATAAAATACTTGGTATTTTTTTGTTATAAAATAACTCGTAATCAGTCATCAAAACCATGGAATTTGTTAGCGGAAATCCGTCATAAAAATGGAAAATCCAATCTATTACATTAAATTACAATTTATAATAAATCTTTGTATATGACTTAAAAGTAACTACAACATAAAAAGAATTACCTATTAATGTGGGATGAAAAGAAAATAGAATATACTACGAGCTTAGGTGTCAGCCCTACTCGTGGTTTACACCCGTTCATTCATTCTATGATGAAACAAACGTTTTGTCTTGTTTCGTTGAACGTGTGAAAAAACTGAATGACGAATGTACTAGGAGGTGATTTTGTGCTCGTTGAGAACTATTTAAAGCAGGGTTAAATCAATTTGTTAATTCATCTCTGGCTATCAAACTTTTTATGTTTGTTTTAATGTTTGAAACGCCAACTTTACTGTCAGGGTCAGGCAAAGTTTTAAACTTTTAGTGAGCTGTAAAGTTCTAGCCGCCAATTATGTAAAATAGTGCACGATTAACATAAAATTCATTTAAGATCGGTAAGCAGATAGTAGGTACCTACATAATATTAAAGGTTCGGCCAAACCAACGCGATCACACGCGATCAGCCGACGTGCAGCGATGGCGATCAATGCATTAAGTCTGGTCGCCATCGCTGCACGCGGCTGATCGCGTGTGATCGCGTTNTACTTGCCAACAGTCAACAGTCTTGAGAATCGAGATCTAACCGAAACATGGACGTTGGACAAGCTTCGTTTTGTCCATTATCATCCGAAAGCCTACCTGTTGGGAGACTCGATTAAAGTCTTCGAGCATTGTGCCAAGGTCTTCAAGCGATTCTGCCATGACCACAATATCGTCAGCAAACCGCAGCTGAGTGATGTATTTGCCAATAATAGGTATTTATGCCGAATACTTTCCATTCAAGGAGCTTGAAAGCATCTTCTAATTCAGAGGTCAACGGTTTCGGAGATATAACATCTCCCTACCTCACGCCTCGCCGCAGAGGAATCACCCTTGTGCTTTGCTCCTGTACTCGGACCGACATGGTAGCGTTTCTGTACAGGCATTTCAGCACTTCGATATACCAATAGTCTGAGAGACTGCAGCACTGCTTAAGTCTCGATCGAATCAAAGNTTCTAGCCGCCAATTATGTAAAATAGTGCACGATTAACATAAAATTCATTTAAGATCGGTAAGCAGATAGTAGGTACCTACATAATATTAAAGGTTCGGCCAAACCAACGCGATCACACGCGATCAGCCGACGTGCAGCGATGGCGATCAATGCATTAAGTCTGGTCGCCATCGCTGCACGCGGCTGATCGCGTGTGATCGCGTTGGTTTGGCCGAACCTTAAGTATTATTATATTTGCGATAATGGCACAACGTTTATCACGATGAAAACATTGTTTTAAGAAGCATAAAAGATATTAATATACTTTTAGTATAAGTCACAAAATATCGTGATATTTATCACTGCTAACATAACTAAAATCTACACGAATAGCAGATACGGTTAAAGTATCAAAAGATCATTCCCCTAACTTCTTAACTAATGGCATGAAATTGCCCCAGAGACTAAAGAAAAAGCGAAAAACACCTCCAAAACTAGCAGATAAACTATGAAAGTAGGTAACAAGAATAGTATCAATTTAGGTCATAGCCCTGAGCCTACAGGGCGCACCCACGCGCCCCGAGGGGCGAGAAGCGCGCCCGAGTGATATTGATCGCCCCAGCATCCACTGCGCAAGGTCGCTGCAATCCTGGTTAAGATGAAGATCTTCCGAATCCACTATATTCGCAATGTCCTGTCTTGTTTTCTGAATTATTTTATAGAGATACATAATAATATCGAGCCTTTACCGCCATTTTAGCGCAACCGACAAAAACCAAATTTTACAGGAGAAGGTTTTTTTTAAATATTTTTAATCAGAAGTGTGCTAAGAACAAGAAAAATGACATACGTTAATGATTTTTAGAGATTAAGGGCTGATTTTTCAATCGTCGGATAACTTTTAACTGAAGAATAACCTTGTCATTTTGACATATTTCCCATACTAAAACTGTCTATGTGCCAAACTTAATCTTCAGTTAAAAGTTATCTAACGATTGAAAAATCGGCCCTTAAATATATGACTGAAAATAAAACAAAAATAATGAGTATTTATGCCATTTATGGCGCATACAATATTTTTGCTGTCACAGTCTATAGATATTCGGGCGTTTACGATAACATTACCTATCAAAATTACTATGTCCAAGAAATTATAATTGTTAAATAAATAGGCATTTTAAAAGGTTTTTAAATGAAATATCCACATAATAATCAAAAATTATTTATTCATGAGAAATTTCTTCTTGTACAAATCAATTAACACCACTTATTCAACCACTTATTGCATNTACTTGAATATTCGAATACATGTTAATTTACTATTCATAAAGATTTATTTAATAAAGATTTATTTATTATTTATTTATTTATTCGAATAATAATTTGAAATTAAAAATTCGAATATTCGATTGCAATCTCTAATTGCATCAGAACTTTTGCTGATATAAACAACAGTGGGTCTAGACAAAGTGCAAATTATAATCGCAAACCAGTCGAAAAGTGGTCGAAAAGCCCCTTTTTTGTATGGAGTTTTGACGGATTCGATTTTCGATTCGATCAAAAAATGCGTTTTGTCTAGGGGGGCAGGTTTGTTTATTAGTAAACGCCTACAGTGAAGCGCTAATGTCGCTTGCGATAACAAGTGCGGTCGCTTGCGATAAAATGCATGTGTCGCTTACGTTAAGTTTTAGAAAAAATGTGTATTCACGATAATTTTAGCACTTGCTGTAACTTTGTAACGGTTTGTTTTTGGCGGGAAACACCAACAGGGATGGGTCCGTTACGGTTTAAAATACTAGAATCAATAAAAAACGGTTTTTTGACAAAAGTGTCGCTTACGATAATTTGGCGGTAAAGGCTCGATATGTACTTACTTACATGGGTACATAATTTAATATTATAACTGGCTTATAAGACAAAAGAAAGAAAAGATACCAAAAATTGTATACATAGTATTGTATACATAGTTCATAGTAGCCAAAACGACAGAAAATTCTCATGTTTTTGATATTTGCTTCCACAACAAAGGTAGTATCATACATTAACTAGTGCTGAAACTGAAATAAATCCACTGTGGCTTGTATTCAGGTATAAAAACTGACTTAGAACTGAAACTGAAACGGATCCACTTCAGTTTCTTATGTAGCTTACATTTAGGTTTCAGGAATTTTCAAAGACGTTCGCCTCTCGCCCTAAATATTGCTTTCAAAACCATTTATGTACTAAAATAACATGTCATAGGAGTTTCAATCGATTGGACTTCAAGTTAAAGAAGTTCTTTTTAACTATTCAACATCGAGGGAGGCTTCTCCTTAAATATTCGTAGACTTCAATCAAAGTTATCCTTACAGGCTGAAGTTGCCCCTTTTACAATGGTTTCGCGGAATTACTATGTATTAAAATGATATTATACAACTGTACCAATTTAAGTGTGTGCTGAAATCGAGCCAGTTGGCAATTTGTGTTGTGAATCGATCAATTATAATTAAGTATGCTACGTATTGTTAGGAATGCCTCTCATTCAGTAATTTCGTGATTCACTTAAGGTTCTCGTTCAAGTGTTCAGTGTTGGTTATAAGTTCAAAGTGTGTGTTGCTTAGGTTTTCCTGAAAAAATCTCCTCTTTTAAAAGGTATGTATTCACGAATTTCAGAGAAAAACTTATATATTTAGTGAAGTTTTTGACAAGTAGAATATTATTCTCTAACATTGTGTTCCTATATTTCAGGCAAGAATGGAGCTCCCCGTGTTGGATAAGTTTTGCTTCGTATTCGGCTTAAAAACAGGATGCATTACTATGGGCATATTAAATTCAGTGAGTATTTTTAATTATTTGAAAGGTTAAACATTTTAAAGGTCTCGTTTTCTTGCAATCACAAATTTTATAGGTGCTTTACTTATTTATTGGTTGATGGATGATAGAATGAAAGTTAGTTACATGTTGGAATATTTGTAAGAACACTCTACATTTTTTAACTACAGTTACTTTATAAATAGAACACGTGGTTTAGTTAATAGTTGTTGGTGGTCGGGTGGCTTAATATTAGTTTAAAATTCTTGAGATTGCCATCACCACTGAAATTCACTAAAAAACTAAAGTACAGTTTCTAATCTTCAGTGAGAGTCATTACGTTTTAATTGGGACGTGGTCTGGGATCTTTAATGGACCTATAATGGTCTGCTAATTACATTATATTTCTAGTGTCATTAATAACAAATTGCGAGACATACTAGCCTGAGCAGTAAATCTAATTCATCTTAAATCCATGTGACGACCATGCCTCACATTTTGACTAAGGTGTAGAGTTTGTGTAGTTAGGGCATGCAGATTTAGATCCTATAATAGAGTTAGAAGCTTGTCTCTACTAAAATATGATCACTTTTTCACAATGCGAGTCATATGGTCTTGTCTTGGCAACATTTTACGTGACAATGAATTTAGTGGGATGACTATATTTAGAAGCCAGAGACCTAAGGTCTTCGAATATCACACTTAGATCTCAATGCACCCTTCCAGATCTTTACGTTCACGTTAGCCATAATCCTGATAACCTTCGCGGTGGACATCAAGGAGGCGTCGGAGGCGGCCAGCAAGCGGGACGGCAGCGACGCGACAATGTCGTCCGTGGTCTACACCATCGTCGTGCTACTTGTCGTGCTGTTGTTCGTGAAGTTCGTGCTAGATATGGTCTTCGTGTTTGCGGTTTATAAGGTAAGTTCCCACGCATTGTATATTTTGGATTAGCAATGGAGGAAGCACGCGTATTGGGTCTTGACACTGGATTACCTAACTTAAAATCTAGTTTTTATACAAGCAACTTTATAGACCTCTGATATGACTGTCAATTTCGAATTTACGTACTTTCTAAATTATGAGATCACTAGGCTTATTAGAATACCCTACCCTAAGTATGCTTTATAAACTTGGTACCAGCACACGCCTAAAAGTGTCCCTTGAAAGTTAAATTCAGGACCGACCTAATTTCCTCTGTACTATACACAAGTACTACTTACTTAAGCACTCTTCAGAAGGGTTGAAACATTGTTAAACAAATAAATAAATAAATACTGAGGACTTACCTTATCCCATCGCTTTTCAGGAGAAATGCGGCATCATGAAGAAGTACTGCATCTTCTGGATCGTGTTTCTGGTGCTATTCATCATTGGCTTCCTCAAGAGCCTGTTCCACATGGACGCGGGGAATGTGATTGCCCAGATCCTGTTCTTGGGTAAGTTCATAGTATCAGTATACTTTAGTTAACAAAAGCTTTAAGTTTCACCAGTTTCACACGCATAATGGCCAAGAGGTTTAGTGCGATTGCCCTGCTAAAGTAACATACTGTGGGGATTGGAAAAGAGATGTTGTGTTTTTCAGAAAACTTAAGGCTATTTTACAATATTGAAATAATTGCTGAAAGTTGTACATATTTTCATAGTCGATCGATTAAAACATGCACAAACTTGAGGCTTGTGGATTTTGTGCATGTTACAGTCAGATTTTCCCTAATTTCACCACAAGAAAATTACGGTTAGTTCTATAACATGCTGTAAAGCGATATGTTACTAGTCAGAGGAATTTCTTCAATGTTTCTTTGAAGATGTTTTAGATAGTATTTTTATTTTTTGTGTTGCATTGGTGCATTGCATAAATTGCATTCCACTTTTAATGTATTAATTTCATACTTCTTTCAGCTGAAAACATTTACTACATCGTCGTGATACGAAGCTACCTGATATCAATCAACGAAGACGGTGTTCTTTAAAGAGTTTTTATAATATTCGATTTATTGATCGCGTTACGTTAATCGAATTTTGCATTTTATTAACTCTTTTATAATTTTACGGAGTATTTAATCAAGTTCCTTTATATTCGTAATTTTTACGTATTTTGTGAAGTTGTTATTGCGATTATTGCCAGTTAAAATATACAATCGATTAATTTTAATTCTTAAGACAAAATAGATACCAAGTTACCGCGAATGAATTGAATGATTATGAAACTATACATTTTTATAGGTCGAACAAAACTTAAGCCACCATTTGCAATAGGTATTTTTACGGCATAAAGACAAATCTGTCGACATTTTCCATATTAAATGCGTCGTTGCTATTAAGTCACAACGAAACAGACCAACGTAAGCTTAAACATAATAAATTATTACTTGGAAAACCCTCCTTTATGCACCTGGGTTATAAGCTAGAACTAGAGACCTTCCATCGCAAAGGTGTTCGATCCATTTTAAGTAATGATCTTGTAAAAGATTTTGTAACTAGAATTATCGTGCATTTATATCGGTGTTTACTTAAATTAGTTTGTTGAATCATGTTTAGATAGAAGTATTTATCAAATTAGTTTCGTGTATAGAAAATTTATACTGTTATAATATTAATAGATTTTGAATCCAATATCCATTTCATATTTGTAATATTATAATCAAATCAAATATTGGATAATAGTTGTAGTAAGTGCCATATCAATGATGTTATTTAGTTTTGTGATTGTATTGTATTAAATGCCAAAGAAGAGAATCAGCCTATCGTTTTAACAGCTCGATAGGTTTGCAATGGTTAAATTGTTAAATTATCAAATGATTTAAGGACCAAAAGAAATAGGTAAAACGTCAACGAGCTTGATTGGCAAAGGAATGTTTATTATACAAGAATGAAAGGAGCTAGGACCACTAATACGAGAAGTTGGACACACGATGTGTTTGCTTCAAAATGAACTTTTGAATAGGTGCTCGTATTTTGGAATGCTGACACTGTTAAGTCCGATTTATGAATTGAAGAATACGTCCGTGGATCATTGTATTGTTATTTTGCTTAGTATTATGAAACGCCGACTAAAGCCAACTCCCGCGCCAGTTGAATCCGGGAATCAAGGAAGCAATGTAGAGCTTATTTAGTGATCCAGGTTATCTTTGTGACATTTCATGATGAGTTTATTGTCATAATGTCACCTGCTGGCAAATACCTATTTATTATAATAGCAGATAACTATAGTTCTACTTTAAACTCAAAATAGGGAAAAAGTATCATTAGTGTCGATCGAGATTACGGGGACAGTTAAACCATTTTATGGATCATAAACACGACGTCAGCCTGAGGCGATCCAATAAGCTAACCCGACATAGGCATAATAAAAATAGAGACAACATGTAGGTAATGAATGATTTACCTAAATAGAAAAATCCAAAGAAATACAACCAATTGTAATGGATTGTCTCTATGTAGGTACATTAGTGTTGTTTTAGTTAACTAATAATGTTAGTGTACATGTTTCCAATCCAATCCCATTGACGTAATCGTGGATTGGCTTATTGGGTTGTGTCAGGGATTGGTGTCATGAAAATGGTCCAAGAGACTAGTTTTTATTAGCTCCAAGATTACCGGATTCAATTAGCACCGATTGTAAGTTTAGATAATCATATTTTCTTACGTAAATATAAATTCAGGTTGTGAAATAATTTTGGCTATGTATTGATTCAGTCAGATGCATTGTATAAATGTAAAAATAATGTGGTAGATCATTTGACATAAAATTAGAGACTTGTCTTCCATTAAGTAGTAATAAGTAAACATCATTGTTTCTCTCATTTTGAATGACTTAGGCATGAACTGCTATTTTATTAGGCAATGCATTTGTCTTGCAATGTTTTGCATGAGCTTTCTATGAATGAAGATATCAGAAAGTTTTGTTTTACCTAAATATCAACGAAATATAAGCCAATACAACTGGCCATTATCAAAATATGAATGTTGCATTATTACCAGCTATTTTACATATCTTAAAAATGTTTGTGATATGATCGCATCTCTTATCTTTTCATAGTTTAATAGTGTTCACTACATTTAAAGAAGATTTATATGGATTTTTAAAGTTACTAAAATAATATCAAAGTCTCTGTCCTATCTTAAATCGACTCTGAAACTAAATTATATCAGGACGTACCTAATATTTTTGGCGAAAAGTCAAATAATTTATAATAATATTATTATACATATTTGAAATAGCAACGATTGTACCTACTAATTAGTCCAGTCAATGAATTCTGATACCTAAAGAACCGTTTGAGGTATATTTATGAAATTTGAAGTTGATGTTTATTTTGCAAGTCTCAACCCATGAGCCAAATTTGAAGTGTTAATGCACAGTACTTTTTGAGTGAAGAGGAGTCAAAAGTGGCTTCAATTGGCTCGTCTAAATATACGCATGGTGCAGTCCCCTCCCTGGAACTAGGCTTAACATACTCCCGCATGTCTAGAATATTAGCTCAATGTTGATTTAGTCGATTTTCTCCTGATGGAAACATGTAAGACAAAAATAAAATTTCCAATATTACAGACCTTGTAGAGCAGTTGCCGCGAAAACTATACAAGATATAGAAAAACTTGACTATCTCGCCTGTAGCAAATTGAATAAGCTTTTTTTGGTTCATAGTAGTCATGTCATGTCACTAGGACGCATAGTTTCCGAGGATTAAGCGAAAAACCGAAAAGTGGTACCTTTAAACCCCCCTCTCCCCGCCGGCTTAAGGGCTAAGGGTGGGGACTTTTGCTATGTTCACCTCCTAACTAGTCTAAATAAAGTCCCGAAGTCAAAAATTTTGTTTCACGGATTTCCATCTATAATGCTTTACTGACTGGACTAAATATCATATTATAGCCTGACCAGGAACATAAAAACCCTGGCATAGAGGCGCGTCGATTGCATTTGATAGTGCAACACTGAGTACAGTCGTACCTGTGTTAAATTAATAGCCTAACTTTATGTATCAGGATTCAGGATTACGGGCTTATTTGATATTTTCATAAATTAACGAAAAAATATTATTATAGGTAACCTGGTTTAAATAAATTAAATGAAACCATCAATCGAGCTAGTAGGATTTATTTTATTATTCATCAATAATCAAATTCAGAACTTGAATATTAAACTGCAATGTCTGCTCATGAACGCTTCAAACTCGGTACTTCTTTCCCAATTCCATAAAATTCAACACTTACAAAGTGACAAAAATCTTTAAAATAGGTAGTTGAAACAAACCACAGCTCATTTTCATAGTGGACTGTACTATACGATAAACATGTCAGTCAATTTGACAACCTTTGTCGGAAACATTATTCAATGAAAATATTGTCGAACCCTTATTATTTCTCTTCGACAAATACTTTAACACATAGTGAACCACTTTACTTTCACGACTATAAAAAGATTTTAGCAATATAATTCACAAAATCAATTGCGCACATTTAAAATAAAGTTTGTTTACACTTTGACAGAAATAGACTGACATGTTAGGTGACATTTCAATGAAGTTTTTAGTTACTGTTGCCATTAAAAGAAATTAGTACCATTCGTTTTCCGCAACATGGCGAGGGTTTTTATGTTCCTGGTCAGGCTATATTATAGTATTACTTCGCAGTTTTAGAACTAGTTAAAATACTGTGGTTACGTCGATGGTTGGTTCTTAATGCATTGTGTCTTGGTAATATTGAATTAGGCTATTGGCTACCAATTATTTTATAATGATAAAATAAATCATCATATTATGCAGTTGAACAAAAGATTCAGTTTTATTAAGGACAAAAACAATTTTTGAAAACATAGGGACAACTTTAAAGATTTTTCCTTGTAAAAAAAATAAAAATGATATTTCAATTTTGAAATGGACGGAAAAAATACATTTTTTATGAGCCCTTTGGTAAATTACAACATAAGTAACTTACGCCCGTATTCACAAACATTACTTTGAGATCTCACAGTGCGCGTGGACGCACAGGGTGACACACGAACCAATCACAGAGCTTTATTCAACGCTGTGTGTTCGATTTGCTGCTTCACTTAAGAAAGCATCGTTTGTGAATACGGGCGTTAGTTACTCTTGTCTAAAAAATATTTATTTATTGTTAATTAGGATCTTTGCATGACATTAAGCAATAGTTTCTTAGCGAGTACCTACAATATTAACTGCCAGTAGGAGACTGAGTATACAGTCGTGGATGCCATTTAGCCTAATTCTAGCTATAAATGTGTAACCTTCCTTAGATATCAAATTAAAGAAAGACAATAATACGTCCTTCGCTTTAATTAGATCATAGTTAATCGTGTCCAATAGTTCCCTTGATCTTTACGGCAGAAGCAAATAATCCAGACTATTTATAATATTGGTATTATAATGTAAATTACCTCCTATGACTAACAACAACATACCTTTATCTACATACTTATTGTATTTCTGTTAATGAACTTGTAATATAACTAAGCATTCGATTCTTACAGGGTCCTCAATTACTAACATTCAGAAAATGAAACAATAATATCAAATATAAAATGTATATTACGATAAATAATATATTTGCTATAAAATATTTGTCGTAATTGTATGTTCCAATACATATTAAAAAAACTTTTTATAGCTGGCAGGACTTATATTATTTAACTAATTAATACATAATGCAAGGTATGTATACATATTATTAATACATAATTAATAGTACCTATCAAAAAAATCTACATTTTATTAACAACAGAATTATAGGTACCCCAAATACCCCAGCTATAAATAAGTTATTATACATACTTAATATAATATTGTTACATGAATATTAACTTCTTATAGTCTTAATATTTGCTTCTCAAATCGATTTAAAAATATAAGAGAATCCTGCAAACGATATATTTACATTTTATTTAAAATTATCAGTATTTATGGATTTATAAATGGGATTTTCTTGCATTTTTACCCTAAAGTCTTGACTATTTATATAACTATTTACCTGTCCTTTACGATGAATGTACTCCTTCAAGTATACATATTAGAAACTTCGTTAGAAATATTTTATATGCATGTATTTAAATTTTATCAAGGCCTATTCATATTGATCTTATCTTCTTTTTTTAAAACTATTTTTACAACTTTAAATAAAAAGACAATAAAATGTTGGTAGACTTGTACTTTTACGTACAGAGTCTAATGCGGTGCTATTATTTTGTATTCAATTTCGAATATAATTATTATTGTAGTAGATGTAATGAGTATATTGGTAAGTTACAGAATCAATTTTTGCGATTTCTTTGCCTTTCTCAATGTGAATAGGCCTTAAGTTGATGTCTGCACAACTATCGATCAATTAAAACGCTTTAAATGTTGTAACAATTATTTACAATGTGAATTGAATTTAATTTTATAGAAATTTTGATGTTTGTGACTGTTGTACAACGCTTTGTTAAATGCATTGTGTATTTAAATAAAAACGTTATAGCAAGAATTGTTTTTATTTTTTGTATCTAATGGTTACAGATACCTGTTCCCATAAATTTCCTAATTAGATATGGACGGATATCGCAAGCATAATATTTCAAAATAATCAACAATTTTACAGCTTCGTGAAAGGCATGTTTTTCTATAGTTTTCCATCTCAATAATTTTCTAAATCGAAATAAATAAACACAACAATGATTTCAAATACTTGTCTTATAATATGTTTATCTATGTATGATTATATTAAGCTTAAGCGATTATGATTGTAGGTAGAATGACTAGAAATAAATATTTTTTGTCCATTATAAAATATGTTACTTAAATTATTATTTATTAATATTTAAACACGCGCAATGGACATTCGCTAAATAGAAATATTAATTGCATATTTATTATAGATTTACCTTGATAACAACAGAGTATAAGTAGTGACTTCCAAACAACTTAACACCTAGGTAATACATTTTTAAAAGTACGTAATATTCTTCATTCTAAACCTTAAGTATAAATAACAATGGCTCAACTAAACTACATGGCTTACACATACAATACCAACAATCACCTTGAATACACTTACAAGTTAACCGTCCAGTCAATATAAATCCAGACTGGTCACCGCAAAACATTTGTCATGTAAATAACACCCGACCAAAAGGCCAAAGATATTATGTCATAATCACATCACAAAAAAACTTGTCACAGAGAATCACGTCACTAAAACCACAAGTTGTCACACTATAACAGGCTGGTCATGTCGTTCGTGATCGAAGTGGTCCATTGGAACTGCCCTCAAATGGGTATCGCACTGTCACCGTCGTCCTTCATGGTACGATACAGGGAGTTCACTACTGCCAAGTAGTACACGGAGTATGCTGGAACAATAAAGGTGATTGCTATTGTTATAGTAACGCGATAAACACTACAAAAACTAGGACACTATTGTATCTTCTTCTTGTTAGTTGGGCACTCTTGTCAGAGTGGTCGTGGTTGCGCTGACGAGGTACATGGTGGGGCGATGTCATCTCCGAGGGTAGCTCTCCTGGCGATGTGCTTCCGTTTCTGACGGTTAGTGCTCTCCTGTCTTCAACCTGGCCCTGAACTACCAGTCTCTCCATCGAGTTCGTATTCGTATTTGTATCTTAAAGTATTGTATTTAACTTATAGGAGACATTCCTTTAACTCAGGGTTTCAATTACAAAATGCCTGTAAATGTCCGCGTAAAATCCAACTAAGGCAGTGAAGAGTTAGCAAATAAGATACATAAATTAAAGTCTGTAGAGTAAACCCACAACGAAATTAATTTGGGTAACGAGACTGTGGTACAGCGTAAGTGTAGTTCACAACTAAGGATCTGCCCTTCAGCGCAAAGTGAACCACGTATGACAAACAAAGGTAAGTAAACCCGTTAAAGTAAGGTAAGTTTGGTCAAAGTATTTTTTTTTATCCACAACGAGGAAGCTCTTGGTCTGTATCTCACCTGATGGTAAGTGATGATCAGGCCGAAGGTGGAAGCGAGCTTCAACCGGAATCCTCAACCACGGAGGAATTGGCTATCTTACCTCTAACTGCCGGAACACAACAATGCTGTTAACATTGTTGTTATGGCGACACAGACTTAGGTAAAATAGTGGTAGCTAGCCAGGCGGACTTATAACAATACCACCAACCAAACCGAACAGAAAAATCTGCCCCCACTGGAAATCGAACCCGGAAAGTAGGTTCTTTCAAAAACATTATTGTCCATGATTGACACTTGAAGATTGGAGATGTAGAGCACATTTTTGTTGCAAAATATCTATTAAAACGGCCCAAGATGTTGTACCATACTGTCTCCCACCTGCTCCCGCAAAGAACATGATGACCACCAGAGCGATGTTTCCCGCGGAATCCAGGAAATGGCTCTTCTTGAGCTCGGGACTGAACAGGCACGTCACCACCGCGATCAGGAATATGCACAGGATGAACACCGAGTTGAACACGATAGCCAGCTGCAGGTAGCCGGGACGCCTCTGGAACACAAAAAAATATGATCACATTTTGTGCCGGACGGTATGGGGTTGCAACCCTGTGCGGACCCTTGATACCGTACGCCGACACGGCGCGATGCGGGGTGCAGCGCGAGCGGGAGAGCGAGACGAAGGGGGCGGGGAGCGCAGAAATGATAACTCGGTTGTGGTTGAGACTGTGACCGGTTCCTCGGAGCAGTGGCGAGAGCTTGGTGTTGTAGCTTGTTGAGGAGAAAACGCGGAACTGACTGGGTACGGATGGCACCCCGATATTTATTTACTTTCATTAGAGTGAGAAAACCTAGCTGCCTCTCGCTCTAATGAAACAGCAAATCTATTGCCCTCTCTTNGCGAGACTTGGTTTTTTTGACAAGTATTGTTTTTGATGGGATTTATTAGTCTAAACAAATAAAGAAATTTTGACTTTTTTTTTTCAAGCAGCAAATCGGATGCACAGTTGAATAGAGCTCTGTGATTGGTTCATGTGTCATCCTGTGCGTCCACACGCACTGTGAGACCTCATAGTAATGTTTGTGAATACGGGCGTTAGTCTCTACATGAGCATGACTCTCTTTATTGAGGCAAATGGAGGATTGGACCTACACTCTCCGCGATGGCCAGACGAATTAGGGAGAGTTCGTTCGTTCGTCGTTTCAGCCAAATTACGTCCACTGCTGGACAAAGAACACTGTGCGGCGCAGGACCGTTCATTGTGGAAAACCTTGGGGGAGGGTGAGTTCATATATCAAGTAAGGATTCTGTTCCGATTCTGACCGAAGGACACGACCAGAAATCGTATGTGTTTTTAATTTCGAAGGATATTATTATTCTTTAATTCTGAATAGTATTATGCAGTATTGACAAAAATACAGAAATATCTACAGTCAACTTGTATTGAAAATTAGAAACGGTTGCGTCTATTCAGCTTAGCATCATCATTACTATTTGCCAAATGATTGAAGCACATTATGAAATTACTATCTTCCGGCTGTGGCCTTGGAAGGAACATTAGGCTAGTAATTGGTACTGTATAAGGCTATTTTGTTCGTAGAACGCTTAGATTGTTTAAGTTGTTGGGATAGTTAGCAAATACGAGTAAGTACTAACTTCTGCCTGTACTTATTGCATTTATTACGATTTTCAGTACTTACTTATCTGGCTTTGACCTCGTAGTCCACGCCCCTATACAACTAACTCGTACAATAGACGGTCATAATATCGCTAAAAGGTCTACCTGTATAATAATAGTACCTATCTCTACATAGAGTGATATAGAACGATGAAGAGAGATGTAAGTAAAGTTAAAATTTCGAAAATTTTCCGTGAAAAATAGTCACAAAAGTGCATAAAAGAAGAATAGTCAGTTAAAAATTATATTTACGTAGTTTCAAGACCATTGTTCGAAGTCCTAGGAAGACTCATTTGTTTTAATTAAAGTAATGGCTGGGATATGGCATATATTTTCTCATAAGTAGGTATGTGAATGGCTACTATAGATTATGATTTGTTTGTTCTATTCACTGGTTTATGCTTGTTTACCGTTACTTTTGTTGGCGAGGATTTACGTAGCTTTACAAAATACATGACTGATGGTCACAAAAAGTCTTAGAAAAAGAAAATGATCAATCAAATTCATATTTGACTAACCAGCCATACTCATGGATAATATGAGGTTGCCCTTGGGCTCCCGCTCCCTGCCACCAGATTGCCTTTGGTTATTAACTTGTGAAGATGAGCTTACTTCGCCAGCAATTTAAGCTTTAAATAATTTTTCACGTTTTTCACCATATTTCTTACCAAATAAGCGCAGGATGCCAATAGTGCTGAGGGCAGGGAACATAACCATGCTCATGGATATGATGTTGTCCTTTGGCTTTCTTTCCCTGCCACTAGTTTGCTTTTGATGTTAAACTTGCGAAGACGAGCCAGCTTCGCCAGCGATCTAAACTGCAGATTGGTTTTCACCATATTTCTTACCAAATACGCGCCAGCCCCCTGCACCAGATCACCTTTAATATTAAGCTCCTGATAATTGTGACTGCAATCACCGAGGATCTAAGCTGCAGTAGAATCTTTTTCAGGATAGACACTATCTTACCAAATACGCGCCTGCCCCCGCCACCAGATTACCAATAGTGCTGAGCGCAGAGAACATGACCATTTGACCATGCTCATGGATATGAGATTGTCCTCGGGCTCCCGCTCGCTGATGCTAAACTTGTGAAGATTAGCCTACTTTGCCAGCAATCTAAGCTGTAGGTAGATAGTTATTCAGGTTTTGCACCATATTTCTTACCAAATACGCGCTTGCCTGCGATGCCAAGCTCATGACCATAGTTTCCACCTTCGAGTTTATGAGATTTAAACAGATTACTGCCAAGGACCTGCGACCTAACCTGTAGATTCTATCATATTTCTCACCAAATACGCGCCAGCTCCCGCCACCAGGTTGCCAATGGTGCTGAGGGCAGAGAACATGACCATGCTCATGGAAATGAGGTTGTCCTCAGGCTCTCTCTCCCGGTGCCGAGGCAGGTTCCAGGCACCCGCCGTGATGTTGGCGACGCAGCCCAGCTGGAAAACGAATAGAATCCATGTTATTGAGACCTGGATTTATTTTTGGTTTGAGACAAAATGAAAGGGGCTTGGTGGAGAGTTGTGGTACAAGGAGTTCTCCGTAGTCTGACTAATAAGGGATGAAAGAGGGGACTCTATAATGATTAGTTATACGATTGGGATCAATTTTATTGGGTGCTGCATTCATTCTATATTTAATTTTGATACAGAAGCATAGGGTTTTTAATCTGCGCTGATTCGCGAGAAAGAGGGAACTAGCAATGGTTTTAGTAGGTGGGTAGGACATATACCTTGGTAATTAACGACAAGTAGCATCAAGTAATAACCTACATAATCTACCGCTGTTCTCGTGAGAATAGTTAGGCATAAAGCATTTCCTAGACGCTAGAAAGCCTTCACATGCAGTGTGTACATAACGTAATAGTCATACAATGAGATTGTACATTCCTTGTTTAAATTGATAGTTAATTATAATTGTAATTATAATTGTAATTATTTTACAATTTAATTCGTTTGTGTGCAAAAGGACTACCGTTACAACAGTGTGCGTGTTTATTTTTTGCGTGACGCTTGTCATAAATTCGCCAAGTGTCTACTTAAAAGTTTGAATTGTGAAAAGGATTTTTCATTTATACCTTTATTATATTCAGATCAACGTCGACAGTAATACAAATAATAAAAAAAAACATTTCCTCGTTTGGTAACAGTCTTAAACACATACCTAGTATGCTTATGTAGATAAATGAATAAGCATAAAATCTACTCGTTCGGCAACTCATTCAATGACACAAATGCCCCATGGAGCGAATAGTGGAAGTAACATAATGGCGAACCTTTGTGTTTTTCACGAGATCCTATCTAGGTGACCTAAATGTCCTAAATATCCTTTTTTTCCCCATAAATTCTCTCAGAATTGGAGCGGAAATTGAGTACGGAAAATAAGTCAATATCTCAAGTAAACGAAGTCTGTCGTATAAAATAAGATAATATTATTTATAGAAAATTGATTCAGTCATTTGTAGTTAACGTATAAAAAATTGATTCTTTTATTCTAATAATGGTATCATAGATTTAGATTAATGACCCAGTTATGGAATTTCGTTGGGTCAAACGACAGAATTGGATAATAGCCTTCTCACAATAGTGGTATACATGTTTATTACTATTGATATGACTTTATTGATTGATACCATTAATAAAAGTCATCTGTTGACTCATCGTGCATAGTAAATAGAGCAAAAATATTTAAGTGATCATTCTTTTTTATTTTTTTTCTTTGTTTTCAAAGTACTTACAATGGACAAGAGACATACTGCGTAGAACCCGACCTCCAAAGGAAGAAATCCACAGCATCTTTTCACCATCGGCAGAGGCATTTTCTCTCTGAAAAATGCAAATTTCATAGGTAACACCATGATCATAATTCTAGCCACTAAGTACCTACTTGATCTAATTTGTAAACTCTAATCTAAGCTGTACCTAAGTGATAGATAGATAGATAAAACGTTTATTTGCATAACAGAAACACACATTACAAACAGAAAGTACCAAAAGTAGGATAAAATAATACTAAGCGAGACGTTAATTGGAGATTATACACTGGTGACAAATTAACATTTTTGATAAAAATTCTAATAGGGAACTAGGTACCTACTTATAAGTACTACTTACTATAAGTAGTTAAATTACAGAAATACCTTATCAAATACTTCATTTGAACAGAGACGATTAAATAACTAAACTTTATTGAAAATTCTGATCCCAATGATCTACTAAACGTATGTTTGTACCTATAGTTTGCAAAGTTGAATAAGCTCTATCAAAGCTTATGATCTTTGCCAGACACTAAAATAATGCTTTTATGGTTTGTTTTTAAATAAACACAGCACGTAAACAATGCTATCACGTCGTGAATGACGACACTACTCGCGTGTAGACTTAAAAAATATCACCACCGATTTATTTATTAAAAACTGTGAGGTCACTTCACACGGCACTAATTTCGTAACTTCATACATTTTTTAAATATCGCAACCACTTACTTTTACAAATAAAAACCCGAACGATTCACGATTTAAAAAAATGCGGACAAAATCGTGAAGCGCGTCTATTTCAGTGTGTTCAGTCGCCGATGTCTCTGGCGGGACAACTCTTTTAATATGGTCGTGGGAATTCGACATAAAAAATTCATATAGCGCGGCCGCCCGGCGGAATGGCGAGGCGAATAATGGACATGCCAAAGAGGACGTGTGCCTTGCGATATGGGATATAAAAAAGTCCTTGCGTAATTAAGGGGGAAAGGAGAGCTTTTATTTCGTAGTTCAAGATTCGTAGTGTAGAGTCTATGAAAAAGGAAAATAATGGTCGAAAAAAGTAGAAGTTACGTTTCAAAATTGTACGGTTTCTTAAACCAAATAAACTAGTTAGGATGTTGACTTAATTATTATACCAACCAATAGGCATATAGGTATGGTACAGTAAATAATATTACTGTTAAAATATTTAAGTAGTGTTATTAATATAAGAGTTTGAGCGTGTGTCATTAAAATTTATATTTTTCGGTCAAGGACGTCAATTTTAGATAACCTTGCCTATCCAGACTACGAGAATAATAAAATACTTTAGGATGCTAAGAAAGTTGATTGAATTCCAAGGATTGGCTTAATTACTAACCTAAGCATACATACCGAACTGGGATATGATTATAGTAAAGTCAGGAAATGAAGATATGCTTACGAATTTAAGATAATTTAACAATGCGGTGCGATAATTTAACAACTACTAGGTAATGATTTTTTTAAGTCTTGTAAATATTGATTTGTATCACTAATAGTGTTAACGTTTACCATTGGGTTTGTTATTATTCGTTTACTTAGTGCCACTTATTTATGTGCGTCTGCATTGTTTTTATGTTTAGTTTAACACCTTTGCTGCAGCAGTAACTTTCTAATACTTTCCATTCCTTCGGTACAAGGTCAGTAAACCTGGTATTAAAACTTACATTGTGGAGCACAAGGCTTAAAGACCTTGTAATATTTAAGAATATTAATTTTATTTTTGGCTTCATGTTAATAGATATTGTGTTTTTTTTTTCTTTGAATATTAATAATAATGCATTTATTGACATACACCTGAAGGCGTTCGTGAATAACTTGTTTAGTATAAAAATTATAGCTATATTCAAAATAGAAGGCTTATGCACCCTGTGCCGCACTGAAGTAGGGAAGTCTAGTGGGTATTCTAGGGATGTGAAATACAAATATCGATAGTTTAAATTAAGTTTTAATAAAATTTAAAAAAGTAACAAATAAAGATGTTTAATAATTTAGTCTAAATATTTTACAAATAAGACATACCTACGTGCATAAATACTTAAATAAGCTATATGTATTTAAAGAAAACATATTATTTAATAGCATTTAGTTACAACTTCAAATGTTTGTCACGAAAAACATTATTTAAATTAGCAATAAATCGTGTAGCAAATTAAATTATAATCAATTTGCAGTTTTGATTTTGTTAGTTTCTCTTGACGCCATGTCGACATGTGCGTTTCTTACGAATGCGAGGCAACACTGGCTGCACGAAACTAGATAGCGTGGGGTGCGGTACCAGGTGCGCAGGGTACAAGGTGCTTCAACCTGGTTTCGCATTGTGAAGACATTTTATTATTTCCGTGCGGTACCAGGTCTAAAAACCTGGTATTAAGGTAGGTACATCATTGGATTCTATTTTAAGAATACATCATAGATATATATTAATCACTTTCCTACACCGGAACCAATTGAAGTTATGCCTTTCGCACGACAAGGAAGACTATAATTTTCTTAGCCGCACGGTAAGCGAGACGTAGTACACAAGGTCTATAGACCTGGTTTCGCACTCAATGTGTTAAGGAGTATTTACGCAAAACAATGGTAGAGTACGTAAGTACATAAAAATGTTGCGATGAGTTGAGACGTTGAGGCAAATGGTCGTTAACCAAGATTTATGTTTGTTTATCCATTGTACAGGCGACTGCACATCAAGCATAACAGTTTTAATTTTATATAGTTTGTAATAGGGGCCAATTTACAATAATGTATTTTGATATGGTGACTGTATACTTCATAGAGTAGCAGTAGGCATCTTATTCCGGGGTAGAGTAGAAGGTAGAAGGTTTTACTCTTAGTTTATGTCTTTAATTTTCAGTAAAACATAACTGAATGTTTCGATCTATATTTTTTGCCAGGTAGTACATTATACTACACTGATTAGTGTGACTGAGTGACTCTTCCATGATTGCCATTCAATCAGAATTATTATCTCAAAATTACACTTGACCATAGTCGCGACTCCTTTTTAGTGATTCATTATTACACATTCATCCATAATGATAATTAAGAATGTAACATTTGTAGCGATTATTCACCGCTTTACTATGTAATGTACCTACCTACTTAGCGTTACGATAATAATTCAAACTGACTGTAGAACTCTACGTTTTATTCTCTTTTTAATAAGATTAAAACACACTAACCTGTATATCAACATTAAAATTCACTCCACAGTTGCTGCTGAAAAAAGTTAAGGCACAAAATGTCTAACACACTGCATTTACATAAAAGAATAATGGAGTTTTATCCAATACTTCATTATACACTTTACGTATCACTTAACATAAACAAGTTTTTATTATTATAAACATTTAAAGTCTCGATAACAAAGTATAAAATGAGAAAAACACAGCGACATATTTACTCAACTGCTAAATATAAGCAGGTATTTACGCTTTACGATCCGTTCGGTCGCATCGTTCGTTCGGTCAGTCTATATTTATGTGCGGTTAATTATATAAATTCGGTGCATGTTCTACAAATACCAGTTGCCGTCGATCTCTAGAACGTGTCCAGTTGTCTGCTCATTGTTGCAGTGACCAACGCTCGTTGGTCTTAATTGCTAATTTATTAACTCTTCAAACTGATAACTGTTGCAATATTTAATCACAGATACAGATAATAATAATATTTTAATAATGTTACTACAGAACTTTATATGCAACTAAATTAACACAAAACAAATGAAGGTGACACGAACGCGGGAATTTTTTAAAGTTTGAAAAAAGAAAAACGTTTTTCTTTTAATGTTAGTGGCCAGCGCGTGTGCGGCCGCCAGTGATCAACTAGCGATGTGGCGCTTCCTACATCCGCTGACTGATGGACGGCCATGGCCTTGCGGATGACTGCGCAACCGCTGCAGCGCTGCTTTATCAATTAATAAGCTGAGCCCTTTGGACTGTTTTTGTATAATTCGCCTATTTAAAATCAAGTACCTACAAACATTACTCAACTTGTTTTGTAATTGAGTGTATCCGATTAACGGTTGATTATCGATTGGTGTTAGTAGTTTTTTTTACATTAATTGAGCAATAAGTGATAATTACCACTGAACTTTGAAAAGGAAACAGTGCATTTGGCTTGAATAATACAGCAGGCAGGTTTCCAGTGAGGTTTTGGCCTAGTTTATAGTTTTATTATGTAGTTTCTTGATATAGGAAATCATTAAATAATTATGATAAACTAAGTGCTTGAATTATTAAAGGTGCTGTAAATTAAGACATCACATTTTAATGGAGAATAATTTATTGGTGGATAATATAATTTTATAAATGCGACAGTACCTACTTACTTATTTACACACGAAAAATCTAAACTAATCTTATACATGCATATTAAATAGACAATAAGTCATTTAAAAGTAATAGCTTTTATATTTCTCAGTCAAATAATTTATTTGTAAAGAATAGTAAACTGGCAGAAAATGTCTTTACGGCATTAAGTTCGTCGTATTTATCAATTCCATGACATTAAATCTTAAATAAATAAATAGTTACATTAAAATTTTACAGTTTAGGTGGTAATATACATTGCCAATATTCTGCTTAACTTAATAATATCATCAACTAAGTACATAACACAGCTTAGGTTATAGTAAAAATGGTAAAACATTGCCAAACCTAAATACAAAGTTCTAGTTTCACCGAACGCGGTCAATCAAGAAATAACACTGGCCACTGATATCCTATAGATAATGACATTGAGACGGCATCGATCGCAGTTATAATAAACCGCGGTGGCGTCAACATGCCAGTTCTACGTCTTATACTGTGCTTATACTTATATTTACTTATTTATACAACTATAGCTTTTACCCCCAGCTTCGCCCACGTGAAATTCAGATTGTTTGTGACAACATACCTACTTAAATTAAAGCACTAAAGTTTCATCGAAAACTATAATATTATGTTTAGTATTTGCGTAAAAGATTAAGTAGCAAACATTCTCACAAGCTTTTGCATTTATTTACGATATTAGTAGGATAGGGTACAAATCACTTTGTGCTTTCGTCCTTTTCATAAATAGGGGAAAGTAGTACGAGATGATCCCCTTAAGCGGGAATCGCTGTAAAATACATATTTTTCAATGTAAACCAAAAATAAAGACGATTACTACTAGTATATTTATCTATCCAACTTTCCTTATACTCAAAACCAGAAATTAATTGAGGTTTCATTAAAATATTTCATTTTTTGCAAAACCTTACAAAGTGATCATCTTGTACACCCCTGTGGGTAAGATGATCCCCCAGGTAGGGGTAAGATGATCCCTATGATTCTGTTCTATGATCTATTCTTTTCTGGTTATATTCCTTTCGGAGTACCTAATTATGCGGACAAATCGTTAAAAAGTTAGAAAAGAAAAACAGTTACGAATTAAATTACGAAAATAACTGATTCTTGCTTAGTACCTGCTAAAAAGCGTTTAAATAAATAAAGCTTTTTGCCTGGAGCTGTGTTGAATATATCACAAATAAATTCACCTGCTTCATCACCCTCTACCCCAGCACATGCTTTATGGCCCCATTTTCCACATGCATAACATTTTATCCATCCTTCACCCTTGGTATCGCTTGAAAACTTTTCTGTTCAGTACAGCCACTCAGTATCATCTCCTTCAGACTCAGGTGAGTTATATGAAGTTCTCTTTCTTTTATTTCACTTCCCTTTACCTACTCCATTGACTTTTTTGTTTTAATTCCCAGGGATCATCTCGTACATATAGGAAGGGATCATCTTGACCCAAGTCCCACTTTTTGTTAAATATTTGCTAAAATAATCTACAAGTACGCGGCTACGTTTTTATGGCCAAAATATTAAAATTAAACATAATAGAAAGCCTAACGACAACAGTAATTACATTTAACATTGTTTGAATAAAAGTAACATAAGCTCAAAGTCATGCCTATTTTAGATCAGAAGTACACAATTTTTCTTTTTTCTCGTCAAATTCGATGTATCGCTCACGCCACCATTACGATTTGACTGAGGCGGGGATGTGTCCAGAGCTATGTTTTACCAGTGAAAGAAACTAAATGACGTTAGTGGTTTCAGCACAATCGCGAAAGATCATCTTACCCCAGGGGATCAACTCGTACTACTTTCCCCTAATTATTTCAGTAAATCTCTACACTAAAATCCATCATGTCACCAATTCCATCAACCTTACTGTAACAGTCTTTGTGATGGTCTGCCTCATTTTGGCTTTCATTATGATTATAAATATAACTGTCAAGGGCACCACATGCACAGAGTTAATCACGCAAAAGGATTTCACCAACACAAAATTGGTTTCAGTCCCTTTGATAATCGCAATTATATCTGTAACTATAATTTGAATACACGTAGTTACAATCAAAAGAAATGCTACACAGGCAACTTTTACCACACTCTCCGAATCACTGGAATTACTATTCCGTCTCCTGAAAGCAACGTAGAATATTCTAATGTAAATTAATGAATTAACAATTTGTATTACAAGCTTTAAGATAACGTAGAAGAATGTGCAAAATTTTATGAAGTAATCGGTGTTGTAGCGTAATAGGTAAACAGCAACAGCACCAAAAATTGCGGAGGTTAACCACACAGCAACGGTCACAATGATTAGTTTTATTTTTGTAGTGTTGAAGACGATAACAATCTTGTCGTACAGGTGCTTTGTAAACACAAGCATCCAGCAGACGATCGCGAAATCGCTGGTGAAGTAAATACCAAAGGTTAGTTCCCGCCAGGGAAAGAAAAACCGCTGAACATACATGACGCAAAATTCAAAAACTGTGGCAACGATCCTGGTGAAAGTTATGTGACAAAGGATCTTCTCATCAATCTTCCTGCTGCTTCTGATTAAAATGAAGAACGTGATTTGGATCAAGAAGCAAAGAATGGAGATGACGATCCCACACAGCCAAAGCACTTTGAATGTTTGATATCCATCGTGATTAAGTAAGTCTTCTGATGATGGAGCGCTAGCACTGCTGTTCATTTTGATCCTGCTTCGATCGCAATTCGGATCTTATGCCAATGTTCCTGGTTAGGTCACCTAGAAGAGAAAATCAAAATATTCATTAAATAAGTAAAAGACAATACTGCTAATCCTAAGAGCTGAATACAAGCTACAAAGTTTTATGCAATTTACCATCTTGATTTTATTTTGTGAGTGCTAATGTATATGAAGTGAAAATAAATAAACTTCTCACAATTTAAATGAACACGTCATACACATCATATCAATAACAGCAGACGTAATTGCAATGTATCAAAACCGATTATAGTGCCTGTCGGAACAAATTTTATTTTTAGAATTTGTTTTTAACTCTGTATCGCATTATAGACAATGGCATTGAGAGAATAATAAGAGAAAACGATAGCGTACCTACTAAATTATTTATTACACAGAATTTCATACAATTTCAGCAAATGTCTCTACAGGGTGACCTGTTGGGTGACCAAACAAAAAGGATTGATTCTACTGGTAAAATGCAACAACCTTTCTCAAGAGAAGGAAGTTCAAATATCCCAAAAAAATATACCCTTCCAGACAATTTTTACATCACAATTTGGATAGTGCTCCTGTAGGACGGTTGTTGTATGAGTAGAATTAATCCTTTTTGTTTGAAATTAATCAGAAGAACTTAGGAGGGCCATTCTTAAATTTGTGCCAATTTTTTTTTAAAAATTAAAGATTTTTTTTTTAAACTTTTTGCGATATGTATCGAAAGTATAAACCAAAAGCATACTTTTGATGTATATGGACAACCTTAAAGCCCTCGGAAAGGAAACAAAATAGCCTACGTAAACACGGCTGTGACACTGCATGACACGGATGTGACAGTTTTACATTTTTACTGTAAATAATAATATTTATGTTGTTAAATTTATATCATAATAGTTTAAATTGATTAACAATAAAATACACTAAATTGGTTTCATCAACAAAGGTGTTATTTGGTAATATGTACTTTTTTCTGAACATCCAAAAATTTAATTAAAATTGATATCAAAAATACCGTCAGGTAGTTAATATATCTACTAGATAATAAAAAAATAGACTTTTTATTATTGGCACTATCTGATCATGCTTCCGATATGCTACCTACATGGTTTCGATATGATAATATGCTTAACAAATTAGTAAATCTTAAACGCGGCTCACTCACTACGTTCAGCCATTTGCAAATCTAATAAGATGACAATGTTACTGTTCTAAAAAAACTTAGCAAGGGATGTCAATATCAAAGATAGTTTTTTACCGAGTTACGCATATTTAAAGTGGCGCACGTGGTTGTGACACAAAAACTGCTCACACAATGTTTGGTGTTCAAAATCAAAAATGGTAATTATTATTGATATAAATTTTTAACAGTCTTATATAACATGTATTAATCTTGCATAATTACTGTAATATTTATCAAAATAACATAACATCTCTTCAGAAAAAAATATTGTATGTCCAAATCCGGGAATCTCACACTACACGGTCCGTGACATTTTGGACTTGTAACTTTTTTTAAATATTCTTCTAATAGTTTTATGATAAAAATGATATTGGGCCTAGTTAATAGAGGTATTTTACTAAGTAAATTAATATACAGTGCACTGATTTTCTTTAAAAACATATGCTATTCTTACATCTCACACAAAAATGCGTAAGAATAAGAATGGCCCAGGAGGAGTTCGAAGTCAAGGTTCGACTTCCCTACAGTGCAATGCGGAATTGCGGATGACAGGTGACAGGACAAAGGTTTAAATAAGTATCTCAGTTTATTTATTACTATTTTGTCGTTTTTTTGTGTGTTTTATGACTCTACCTCATCCAGCGTTGACTCATTGCCAAAGTATTTTCCATGATTTCAGCAGGTGGTGGATATAGACATACACTGTGTATGTTATTTTTTATTTATTTCTAGACTATACGTTTATTTTACCGCCGTAACATTGAACTACGAATGAAACGAAGAAGATTGTATACAGCTGTTTTAATTCTTTAAATATGTTTGTTTACAACTTGACTAGTGACTGATGCACCACAATATGGTAAGGAATCCTAGTTTCGTTAGATTCCCATCTGGATCAATCAAGAATATGGATCTATGCACCTATTTGTACTACGGATAATACTTACCTACAACATTTAAGTAGGTATAATGATGAAAATCAGTCAGAAAATCTTAAAAATGTTGTAATTTAATAAATGCTACATAAAAAGTATGTATTATCAACTGTACTTCCTAAAAGGAATTTCAATATTGGTTGGAATTTTAATAAATAATGAAATATGGATAACGTCCTCAATAATGGAAACAGATGGGTTAATTCCAACTTTCGGTTCAATAAACTAACCAGATAAACTTTTTACAACAATGACTCATTGTTATTGAGTGTTAAGTACGAGTATCATTCCAAAAATGTTATTTAAGTTTTTATGGTTAATCTATTTAAGACTATTTTATTCTCCACTTTTGTAAGTTTGAAAATATTTTAGGCTAGGTTGCACCATCTTATTTTAACTTTAACAAACGTCAAAAATCTGCCAAAAACTATAAAAAAGCACCGGTTATCGTTAGGTGGTGCAACTCAGCCTTAGTATCTAAGTATGTAAATATTAAATTGTATTTTTCGATTTAGTGCAAAATTAAAAGCAAAAGTTAGGAATAATATCAATATTGACATACCTTTGTTTATTTATTTGGGTAGAGATACGCACGTCCGTCCAGCTCAGCCATCGGATGGTAGCAAACGGGTATCTTTTTAATTTTAGATCTGTTATTATTCGGTCGTCCGTTTATCCGTTATATGTCCGGGAAGTGGGTTCTACTTTAGGAGGAGTTTTTTCAGTTTACTTCTAAGCAAAGGCAGGTTTTATCAATAGATAGTTACACATTTTTGCCTCTGTGATAGTGTGTAATCAGGGTAGGATTTCGTGAGAAACGAACGTTAGATTTATTTTCAGCACTCACTCGTCACTTTAACTTTATTCACTGGTTTTCACCCAATGCTGTTTCGATTATGAGGGTGTTTTCTATCACTGTATTGTCCGTCACTTAAATTTTCCTCGTGCGTCTAACTCTTACAAAATGCACGTCACATTGTTTTATTGTTTTACCGCAAACGTTTATTTTGCGTAAATCGAATTGTTATCTACTTAGTAAGTAAATAATATTTTTGTAGGTACATAATAATAAAACAATACTGTGACGTGACAGTATTCGCGAGCGACTCGACTTTTCTGTCATCCGCTCTCACCATAATGGACGTACTCGTATATTATGACCGTTTATCGCCATGGAGCCAATTACAATCGTTCATTATATTAACCTTAATGTTACGACACACCCAATTTATTTGATGATGATGATATTAAGTTACAAATATACGGGAGAGTCTATCTATGTGTATCATTGTACTTACCTAGGTTTGCTTAGACTGCAGTGAGGTCCCCGTTTTGTGCAGTTGAGAAAGCTTCTTCACTTGATGCTATGTCACGAAACGTACGAGGGGCGGCTGAAAAGTTTTGAGCCTAAGTATCTTCAAGTGCTATTATTGACTCGCTTTAAATTTATTTAATTTGCCAATAACCTCCTTAGTATATGTACAAAGTTTCATTTCATTAGCGTCATCACGCTTTTAGTAATTAATCAGTAAACATCATCATGTCTCAGTCATCCGCGCAATGTACGAAATCAAAGTACACAGTTTGTCATAAAACTCCTCAAAAAGAGGAACCAAACGCTGACGGTAACATTTGAAGAGATGTCTACAGTTTATGGGGAGTCTGGGCCTTCATTTGCCATCATGAAATATTGGATCCGATAGTTCAAGCATGGCAGGGAGTCTCTAAAAGATGACCGCAAGTCAGGGCGGCCAGATTTCGCCATTAACGAATAAAATAATGAAAACTTAAAAAATCGTGCTTTAGAGATCAGCGAATTAAGTTGTGACAGATAGCTGAAGCCATAGGCATTAACAAAGAACGTAACGGCGATATTTTTCATACTCATTTGCACATGAAATAGGGGTGCGCGCGATGGGTGCCAAAAATGCTCTCGCCGCTCGACAACCAGCGTCGAGTCACAACTTCGCAGGAGTTTTAAGACATCTTTGACCATAATCCTAACAATTTTTTTCTCACATTATCACTATTGATAAATAATAGATCCGGCAGTACGATCTAGAGTCAAAATAAGAGTCACTGCAATGGATTCAAAAGGGAAAACGCCGCCGCGGAAATTCAAAGTGGAGCGATCGACACCTAAGCTCATAGCCACTATTTTTGGGATTGTGGAGGAATTTTATTCATTGACTACCTACTTAAAAAAAACTACAATAAACGGGGATTATTATGCTGTACTGTTGATAGGAGTGCGTCAAGTGGTTGTTGAAATATTAAGAGGCAAACTGGTGAAAGGAAATCTGTTACTGCAAGACAATTCAACCGCGCACACCGCGCATGTTGCATGGCTTACCCCGGGTAAAACTGGATTTTAAGAAATTAATCACCCACCACACAGTTTAGTCCGATTCTCTAGCAATTTTGTCTAATTCTCAAATTGGAAATAAGACCTCCAGGAACGAAGATTTTTGAGTGACAAAGGAAGGAAGGCGGCGTTAAAGACTCATTTCGAAGGCAAAGATTGCGATTTTTTTTTCAGTGGGTTAAAAGCTCTTTTACACAAATGTAAGAAGTCCGTTGTAGTAGAGGGAGATTAAATAGAAAAATATATTTTTCACACTTTTCTATCGGCATTTTTAATACCCTAGGCTCAAAACTTTTCAGCCTCCCCTCGTAGTTTACGTCGTTGTAGTTGTGGAACAACTAATAAATAAATGAAATAGCAGTCTGCCATAGTTTAGTTAAACGTTTACCAAGTTCATGCGAAAAAACTGCTATCTGCACTCTACAATACTAGGACTTGTATGCGTTGCAACAGCACATTATTCTGATAATCATGATTATTATATGTAGATACTCTTGAAGAAAAGATTTAGTTTTATGAATTTCGATTGCGAAGCGAAATAAATACCTAAACATCCCGAAAATAGAGTTTTAATAACAAAGCATAATAATAACTTAAAAATGTTAATAATACAAAAATTCGTCGAGACGCACATCTGATTTTAACACGTTCACTGCGAGTGTGTAGGGGCCATCTGAAATCATTAAAACAACATCTGTTTTTCTTATCCCGAATCGTCACAATAAACGAAATCATATGAGATAAAACATAGTTCGTCCAATAAGTATAAATTGGATTTTGTATTAAACTAGCTGTGCCCGCGACTTCGTCCGCGTGGAATAATGACTTTGGGTAGGCACTTTTAATAATTTAATCTAATTATTTTACAAATAGCTTTTGCCCGCGACTTCGTCCGCGGAGAAGTCGAAAACGATCTCATTCGATTTTTAAGTATTTTCCTACAGGTGCTAGAATTACCAAGCTTCTAGCATGCCACTGGCCGTGGGAGAAGGAGCTTTTCCTCAAGACTACTCCCACTACCTCAAGGGCCTCCGCCAATACTCTCGCGCGAAAATGAGTTTATGTATACAGCGCAAGCAGGTGCCCGCGGCTTGACCGTCATGCATTACTATGCATTGTTAGGCGAGCGCACGCAGCGGGCACCAACTCCGAGGTTAAGTGGAGGCCCCTAGAGTATGATAGTCTTTAACATGACATGATTGTAAAAAAAATGCACTAATGAGTAATTAATATCAACTTTGAAGCAAATCACCACTAAAATAACTTTCTAAACCTTTTTAACATAGTTAGGGGGTGCATTTCACTAAAATACGAAACACATCTTCCATTAATTCTGTTATAGAATGCTTATGCGAAATTTGAAGTAGATTGAACGAAGGAATCTCGTTATCCCATACAAACTTTGCCCAAACAAACAAACAAACAAACAAACAAACAAACAAACAAACAAACTCTTCAGCTTTATAATATTAGTATAGATATTATACATTTGATTGAGAGATAACAAAAAAAAACTGTAGTGTTCGCGCCCTGTTATACATATTTTTGTACGAGTATAATTACTTTTTTTAATAATAGGGTAATAGTCTCCACTAGGTGGACCGAACCTGTGGAAATCCTTGGGGGAGGCGGTCTTTGTCCAGCAGTGGACGTCATTATAAATTGAAACCAATAAGCTATCACATTTGATGACGACAAAAACATAAAATATGTGAACCGAACTTATAATGCAGACCCAAGACATCAAGCGGTAGCTTGTTGCGTAGCCCTTAATGTTTATGAGTTCCGACTGACCTACGTCAAACCATTCTTTCCTTGGATAGCCAGTCTCTTCTCGCGAAGCGGCGATGGCGTCTCTAAGAGCGAAGGCAACGCTGACCGCAAGGCATGTCGGCGGCTCAGCCACCGCTGTAGGAACAAAAATCTTTAAATCTTTCTTCGTAAATCTATAGGTATGTCCATAGGCAGACCATAAACTTTTGACTTTTAATATGACTTAAATTCATTTTACCTTTAGCTCCTAGAGTCCCTACGGGATTAAATGAATTTCTCCGCAGTTTTACCCTAAAGTCAATGGGTATATCTTTGGCAAGGGGCACGTGGTAGTACCAAGTACGGTCGGTTAGCAGTTCTCCTGTTTTCTTATCGTATATCAGGTGTTCGTGTGTCCAGTACCCCAGGCCCATCGTAAAAGCACCTTCCACCTGGAAATATGAACATTAAGTAGCTATATTTCTTAAAACTTATTAAATATCAAGCTGAACAAATAGCCGAATCTTTGATTACCTGTCCTACGTCTAATTCTGGGTTAACACTCGTACCAACGTCCTCAACTATGTCTACTCGTCTAATGTCATGCTCCCCAGTTAGAATATCCAATTCAACCTCAGTGCAAGCTGCCCCTGCTGATCTATAAGTATTCTGATCATTGGATGTTACACGATAACTTGTTTGCAAGTTTATTCCCTGATCGTAGGCAGCTTTTATCAACACTTCCCACGTTGGATTATTCAAACTCTCTCTAACAACTGACAGGCGGTCCAAAAGTAGCTGGCAACATTTAATAGCACCATAACATGACGCTTGGGTAGTTCGACTCGAACCCACAGTAAAACCATTAGGATTTTTTTCGACTGTGGTTGGCTTGGTCTTTACTTTATCTATTGAAATATTTAGCGTGTATGCCACCACCTGGATTACTTTAGTGTTGATGCCTTGGCCTATTTCCACTCCACCGTGTGAAACCACTACAGTGCCATCTCCGTGGAAGACCGTTAAGAGAATGTGATAATCTAACAAAAGAGGCGCAGGCCAGCTCAAGAATGCTACTCTCAATCCTCGTTTCTTCCACCGGTTAAGCTTATTGAACTCATTGACTTCTTCTTTGCGCTTGTAGTACTCGCTATCTGCAAGGAGTGTCTGAACTACTTCTTTGACGTCAGCATTTTCAGCGCTCAGGTTATTTAGTCTAACTTCTACTGGGTCTCTTTCAAGTTCATAAGATATTTTCTCCATGATGTGTTCTGTCATCGCTATCGCCTCCAATTCACCTAGAAAGCAAACAATAATAAAAAAGCAAATACTAAAATATTACATCTACTAAAATATTGATGAAACCTACCTGGAGCTCTTGCAAATGTATTAGAAGCAGTGTCCGTTGTAACACTGAAAATCTTGTATTGCCATCTTCTGTTATCGTAACAGTTCTTCAGAGCTGATATGGCTAGAGGAATAACCAAGTCACTGAATATGTATCCATTGTCCTCGAAAAAATGATATTCCAAGTACTGTATCCGTCCTGAATCATCAATTCCTACCTGAAAAGTTGAAACATAAGAAGATCATAATATGTACAAACAACATCACTCAAGTAACATTGTGGCATTTACACTACACTAGTACTAGTAAAATATATGCCACAGTGTTTCTTGGAGTACCTATCAATTACCAAACAGGAGCTAATAAGTGACAAAAATGGCAGTCTCTCTGATGTGCTGTTTTGTGTTGACTGTAGGTTACACTAGAGTTGAATGGACTAAAACTTCGTACCTCGTAATCTGACGTACAGGGAAATCTTTTGCCAATTATTCTCATGTTGGCTTGGATGCTCATCACAAAGCGGCAAGGTCTGTGCAAAAGGTAAGTAGCTAGTGCACACGCAGTCCCCGGATGCGCCGCCCGGGTAATTTTCGCACCATAAGCACCACCACAGCGAGGTATTTCCAAGTTTATTCTGCAGACACGGTTCCATTTAAAACACACCTCAAAACTCAAGCGCATCGTACGTATGGAATTAACTACTTTAATAATTATTTTTCATTATACTTATTTATAACTGATTTCAAGTAAATATTATAAATAGCATTTCATAAAACTGGTTATATTTTTACTAGGAATTTTGTTGATTACTTTTAGTTTAATATTTGAAGGATATCATTGGAATAATCGAACACTAACCTGCATTGTTCCAGTTTGAGCGCCTCAGATATACCCACCAGCGCTTGGTCTGC